GCCTAGACATTTCCTCCCCTTCTCCTCCGACAGTGAACAATCAGCCAGTCCTAGACCCTGGACCTAGCGTTAGTCCACCTCCTGCCTCCTCTTCTTCGTCTCTGCAGTTGCTGGCCTCACTGTCGGCCGAAGCCTTTTCCATGGAGGGCGGAGGGCGAGGGAAGCAACGAGTGACCAAGCAGAGCTTCCTGCAGCCAGCAGATGGTCAGGGTCTTCATGGGTCTCGAACCAATCAGGACGACGACCCTCTGAGTAGTCTGGATCCTTTGTGGAACCTCAACAAGCGCTGAGTCCACAGACGGTTGCATTTCACATGTTTAAGCACCAGGTGTCGCTAGATAATGGCTGTAGCTTCTGCTAATCCTTTGACAAAACGTTAGTGGATCCTGAGAAGGTTGGAATCCTTTTAGGTGTCGATTACCAAGATGTGCCTGGTGGCAGATTTTTTTTTAAGTGTTGATCTCCAAATACACTTTTTTTGCTTCTTCTTCTTTTTCCATCAGTGGTGGCGTCTGGGACCACAGCACTATGCACTCCTCTGCATCTGTTATTTCTTGCTGTCATTCTTTGCTGCTTTTCTTCATGTGTCATTTCACAGATGCTCCGTACTCCTTCGCATTAAATCTGGACCCTAAAAATACTAACAGAATTCCCAGCATGCACACTACCACCATGATCAGATGGACGATGTTAAGATGCTTGTCGGATTATTCTAAAAACTGGAAAAAAAATTGGGGTTAGAGGACAAGTGGGTCCAATACACAACTACATGTTTTGAAGTCAATCAATGCTTTTAGCTGCTTAGTCATTGTATCAGCATTAAAAACAGCACGATCTAAGAAGTCAATGAGTTTATCATGTCTGTAACACTGTAAATATCTTAAATAAAAATAGATTATCCCAAGAAATGTTCAATCTTTCATTATTGTCAAACAAATCCAATAGACAGTGTCTTTGATCAAGTGTCTTGTTCTAAAAAATATATATAATTGCCTCCTGTAATTATTATTATGTATTTATTTTTACAAAATAGTGAGCTATATATTCCTTAAGTTTATCGTAGCCTGCTTTCAAAAACATGAAACAAGCTTTACTATATAAAATTAAATTAGAAATGAACAATAAGACGTTACAATTTTAGATGTTACAATTCTAAAACCTTAAGGTATAAAAAAAGAATTTCATGATAAAACTAGTTTTGTATAATCCAGGATATGCAACAAAACTTAAATACAAAAAATTTAAATACAGGCATACAATTCGAAAAAAATAAAAAGACCTTAATACATGGCTCGTGTCTGTCATCCAGGTCATACATAGTTACATCGAGGGCAACTTTTGTCCAGTTGCCCTCAATGTAACTATTTTTGGATAAGATGACCTGGATGACTGAGAACCTACACAGACATATCATCTCTAATACATTCAAAAAGGATTTAACACAAAAAGCCCAGCTAGCAAATTAATTTGTATCAAACCTCTTTATTTTTAAAATTAGTAGAAAGTCCTGCAATTTTTCCTTTGTTATTTGTTTTAAGACGGTGACATAAATTACCTCCAAACAGTACAGCCTATGTTTGTAGCCTGCTGACAAAAACCAGGGATGATGTAGGTGATGATGAACAATTAGAAGTTAGAAGACAAATCAGGATATGATTTGTTTTTCTTAAGAAACAGTTAAACATTTTGACAATGAAAATAATGTTAAAAAAAAAAAAAAAATCAAACTAAAGTTTAAGGTAAACTATTGAGAGTGATGAACTGAGACATTCATCTGTTGGCCCTGAAACCTTTTCACCATCTATGTCATCAATTACCATCATTTAGAGCCACAAAAAATAATTTAAATAATTTCTGGAGAGGGAGAATGGGAAATAGTACAAAAAAGACATTTTTAGAAGTTTCTTCTCTCTCCCAGAACATATATGGGATTAGAGAAAGATATCAGCCACCTGGCTATAATCTCACATTATATTTATAGCTGTAAACAGCAAGTCATAATTCCAGGGGACTGGAACTATGACTTGTCAATACAAAAAAAAAAAAAAAACATCCTGACCAGATAACGGACACTTGTGGATTACGAAAGTACCTTCAGAGCAGAGAAGCCAATGAGCCTGTACAAACATGAGCCTAAAGTACTTCAACAGGAAACAGGAAATGGATTTGTCTGAAAAACAAGTTTGAACATCAACAACAAAAAAGCGAAAAAAAGAATTCTAATTTAATTTACACACAACAACAAAAATAAACATCAACATGGTTAAAATGTCAACAGCTCACTGGTCTGGTTTTTCCACTAGCTACATTAGACAGATGTGAAACTGCAAAACACTGAAGTCCTAGAATTTCAGGTACTTGTTCTGTACAAAATGGATAATTCCTACAAACCATGTTTAAAAAAAAAAAAAAAAAATGAAACCAGACCTGTGACCAGGACATGTCAGTGCTTGTGCACTTGCTGTGCAACTTGCTGACTGACAGCTGTGTAAGTTCCATTTACACAAGGGTTTACAGTGCATGGAATTAGTTTTTATGACATGATACTGTTAAGGATTTGGGGAAAACTAGCACTGATATAAAATAAACACATGTGAGTGCAAAACTCAAAGAGGCATATTGGAAACAGGGTGTTTGAAATGATCTTCACAGAGAAGACACACACGGAGGGGGCAGGACCCAGACTTAACAGAGAATCCTATGCTTATGGAGACTCAACCCCACACTGCTACATCCATGTCTTATATAGGAACAACAGAACCCATTCTCAGAGTCACTTAAAGGGCTGAGGATCAGACACAGACTGCCATCACCAACAGACTTTGTGAGAGCTATAATATTAATTCACTTTAGTTAAGACAAAAGTTTTCTAACCATACTGTTTTGAAACAAAAACATGGTGCATTTATATGGATTGGACATGGTACGGACACAGCTAATGTACATTTGTGGACCAACAGTCAGTAGGTAAGTAGAAACACCAATGTTTACTTCTGTTAAAGATAAAGAAGTTAATTTTCCCCATTTGTGTTCAATTATTTAAACCAGCAGCAGTCTCCCTCTGGTGGTTCAGTGCTACAACTACAGGGGGGGAAGGAGAGGGGGAGGGGGCTTCCAATGGAATGTGACATTCACCACTGCTGTAATGCTTGAATGATAACAAGCCTCCAGTCACTAGGTGGCAGCAACTCATACAGTGGTTTGTACAGATAAAAAATATACGTTATCAGGTTCTCAATAGTATTTCAATTTGCAGGGGTGTGGGTCGAGGAGGGGTAAGGGGTAAAAAACATTTCTGCCCCCAAGGGGCGGGGCATAACTGAGAACCACTGCGTTCATCAATGGCTTAGTCCTTAGTTTATATTGGTTTATATTAATGTTTATCCTGTACATGTTTTGGCCTGGAGCGCAGCCCATGATGTAATCAAAATACATTAGTCACATAACAAGGTTACTGTAATTCAGATGACTTCACAAATGGATATGAACAAATTCAAACTTCAAACTCCTGTTGCACGAGTAAGAATCAATAGACTGATGTGAACAAATAGACACATCTGCCTGATGAAACATTTCTAGTGCAACAACTATTTCCCTCATTAACTGGTTTCACATTCTCATCGCCTGGGCCGAAGAGCAGAAACCTGGATAACATCCGTACCATCAGGTAGAGTTGTCACTTATTTTTTTACTTTTATATATATTTTTAAATGGGGTTCGAATAAATGTTATGATACATTGGACAGCCATATGCCCACAAACAGCCTGTGGCTGCACCTGAAGTTGTTTAATTTTCTTGCACAGGCACAGAGGCATTATTTACTAGTAAACAACAAATCAATAGAAAAGTATTTCTGATTTTGCAGAACCGTTTGAAGCCTCAAATTGCTTTACAAACACAGTGGTTTTGTATTCATCTTCCCAGGAGGAATGTTCAACCTGCTTGTCAACAGCAAAATAGCACAACAACACTGCCTTCTGAGTCCTAGCATTTTAGGAATAAACAGGTGGAAGTGAAGCTTCATGGTGTAAGACAAGTCTACTGTATACACACAGCATGACAAACACAACACTGCTCTGAAAGCTCTGATGCTGCTGTTGTCTGTGCATTAAGACGAGCGTTAGCTTCCCTGCAAAACGATGTAGCATCACTGTCTTCTTTTACAGAGACACAGTAGGGAGGGCTCATGCTACGCTTCAATCAAACCACTGTGAACATCCACACTAATCTGGCAGATATGAAGGCAACAGCCCTCAACATGTACAACACCTTTTACAACATTCAATCGAAAGGGTGGAATTTGAAAGGAAAAAAAAATCTCTTATGGGCAAAAAAAAAAAAAAAGTTGACAATGTAAATGTGATGTTCAAAAATGGTAGGCAGCGCAAGACGTCAGTAATTTCAAATAAAATTCTTGCTGTTTGGAAAACAGAGGTAGCCTGATGGAAGGTGTCCCTCTCAATCACGCACGCACGCACGCACACACACACACACACACACGAGGATCTCCATACAGCAACAGTAACCCCCAGAGGCTCGTCTCCAACAGCCCCTCCATCTCCATAACAGCAAAAACATCAGTGTTTTCACTTTAAAATATCACAAATGATCTTTTTACACCCAGAGCCCCGACCTGCCGTACAAACAATCACCGTCCCATTCATACTCCTGTTAAAGAGCCAGGACTATCCAATAATAAACAAACTGTTATTCCAAAACATATCACTAATAAATAGTTCATTAATACATATATATATTTATATATATATAAAAAACAGTCCACTCTCAGGTTTTACATTATACAGTAATAATCATCCATCCATTCGTCCATCACACAGCCACATACACACTTCGCCCAGAACATGTTCTCAGCAGTATTTTACCATAACGTTCACACATTCAATCTTTCATATTATTCAGGAGCACACACATAAACAAACAAACCTGTCAAAGTCATGATGGCTGCTCTTGAGGAGGCAGCCGGGACCCTAAAAAACTTAAAAAATAATCTTTTCTCTCAGGGTGGGCGGGGTAATGTGAAGCCCCGCCCATATCAGCAGCATAAAGGGCAGAGCCTCAAAACAGAATAAGCGCTAAACAAACAAACAAAGAAAAATACAATCCCCCCACTGACACAATTCACTCTTCTGGTCAAGAACATCCAGCTGTTCTTCACAGAATCCCATTGCATTAATGGATCATGATCCATATTTGACATTTTCCTCTTTTGGAAAAGAAATGCAGCAGTTTCGTTTAGTTTCGTCTAAGCATTTTTCGACGTATAAAATAATTCTGTGCACAGAGACACCAGCGAAATGATTGCCTCTCATCTCATTCAGGTCTCAGCAACCAACCAAAACAAACAACAACAAAAAACCTAAATACAAAAGAAGGAAAAACGATGCTGTGACTCCTTGGTTGTGTTCCCACCAATGTTGTCTACTTTGCTCTAGTCTAGTTTCTCCAGTACCGACGGCACGTACACCAGACTGAGCTCACTGCCAAAGTCACAGATGATGGCAGCATTGTCCAGCACCAGCAGCTGTCGGACACCCTGTCCGTCACTGCTCTGTCCCAGGTACACCGTCTGCAGCAAGTCCCCAAAATTCAGGTCCCAGAAGGAAACGCAACCCTGGCCCCCGGTGACCAGGAGAGACTCTGAGATCACACCCAGACTGGCTCCACAGCCCACTTCCTGTTGAGGAGAGAAAAAGAGACTAAAAGGTAAATTTGTGGAGAAAAATGTACATGGAAAATATGTTAACTTACAGCTGAACTTAATTCTTCACATTCTTGAGACATCGGCGTGCAAAAATAACTAACTGGGAAGATAAGACAAGCCAAGCAGTCTTCATCAAGGTCAAGGTGCCTGGTGTTTTTGTGCTGATGTGTCCTTGGTCGTGACACTGAACTGAGAGGCTGGTGACAGCACCAATAGCAACATATGTATATATCAGCAACACGAAACAATGGTGCAGTACCTGCTGTATGGAGTACAGTTTGATCCCTGTACTGCGGTCCCATATACAGATGAGGTCGTCCAGTCCTGAGCTGATGACACAGGAAGTGGTGCAGACCAGTGAGGTTACGTCACCACGATGACCGTAAACATGGCTGACACGGCTCCCTGTCAGGACATCCCACAGGCAGATGGCGCCGTCCTGCCCACCGCTTGCCAGAACCATTTTCTAAGAGACAGACAATGACAGACATTAATATCTGCTGTTCAGAGAACAGCAATTCTGTAGGAGTTACAAGTTTTTAAATGAAGTACATAAAGTTTTTAAGCAACGGCTACAGATGTTTACACAGGTGGGGGCTCGACAAAAGTCCTGACGAAAGAAGCTTGGCACTGCAGAAAAGGGTTGTGCGAAAAAAGTGTGGGAATATATAGTGTCATGTGTTACATTCTAACACCGACCTGGTCGATATAGATGGCGGTAATTCCTCCAGAGTGACCCTGCAGTGTGAAGAGGCAGCACGAGTCCTCCAGACGATAAACCTGACAAATGGTTGTTTGGTTATTTACATGTCAGACTAATGTCAGACACATTAGTCCAAAGGAGTACCATATTTTCCGGACTTCATTATGCATTTTTTAGCTGGTGAGACTTATACACTGGAGTGAATTATAGTCTAGAAAACACGGTAAATAACATTGGTAATAAATGTAAACTAATGTGCTCATATCTGTTACCCTGACTGTGTGGTCCTGGCTGCCAGTGACCACCCTCCCTGCTGCTGCCCGCAGCACCGTGATAGGCTTCTGGTGAGCACACTGTATGGAGCGTGTGAGCTGGAGGCTTATTGTATCTTCACTGCTGTAACAGGGAGATGAAGGCATGTTACCTCGACCTGGAGCACCTGAGGACAAGAGACACAAATGGGGTCAATTCATGCATTATTTAATCTTCATAAAAGTGGAATCACCTGTACCTGTGTCTAGTTAACCAACATATCATGCTCTAGATTCACTTGATACATTTACCACGTTATGTATCAGCTTCTGAATAGAGTGGTTGCTTCTCACCTCTGTATTGTAGCAGAGCCAGGGGTTTGTTTATCTCAACTGTGAAAAAATCCAGAGAACCGTTGAGTCGAGCTGCGACAATTCTGAGGTCCAGCACAGGAAACATAAGAAGAAAAAAAAAAGTGAAACTTTATAAAAAGTTATAGAATTAAAGTTACACTCAAGGATGTGAGAAGTAGGCACCAGAGCAGCCTGAGACTTAACTTTAAATTGCCCTTTTTTCCATATGCAATGAAGACAATGATGAAATACGTTGTTTGCTATCAGCAGACAAATAAAACATTCATCCTGGGAGGATAAATTTAAAACTGCAGTGTCTGGGAAGTGCCATGTTTCTGGTTGACAAGATAAAAACTACACTTCTCTACTGCAGCACTGCTTTTTTTTTTTGCTGTTGGGAAGTCAGCTAAACATTTCTTTATGGAGACCAGAGTAACAAGACCACGTCCAAATATATACTTTATTCCTTTGTGCAAAATATCAAGTGTTTTAAACCAATTTTAATCAATGTGAAACCTCCACCAAGAAGTAGAAACACATGTTTGACTTTGATGGTTTGTGTCTGCACCTGTTGTTGAGGAAGGCCAGAGCTGTGATCCCAGAGACCCCATCATCATTACTGCAGCGTAATGAACCCTCCACTGCGTCCCATAACTAAAACAACAAATGAAGCTTAAACATGACCTTCATTTTACAAAGTGTATTCATTTCTAGATGTTGTTTTGTTTGAGAAACAGAAGAAGGGGTGTAATATTACAGACCTCCAGTTTACCGCTGCTCCTCCCTGCAGCTATCAAATTCCCCCTCAACTCCATCGCCCACACAGAGCTCTCCCAATCAGCCGTCGCCTGAGACCCTGCTGTTGAAGCCCTCCCCTGGGTGAAGGTGCTAGATACATCCCCAAAGCTGGGTAATTTCTGGAGCTGAGTGCCCGAGGGCGGTGAGGAGGAGGCTGGGGAAGTAGAAAGATGGGTGGAGGGCGAAGGAGGCTCATGCTCCATGTAGGCTCGCTCCACCAGACCACCAAAATCGAACCCAGCTCTGGGTGGGGTGGAGAGATGGGAGGGTGGTTGACTAGTAAAGTTTGTGTCGATGAGTGGAGTGAGATCAGGCTGGTCTGTGAACAGAACCGGCCGTGAAGGAGCGGTGCGCCGTCTCAGAGGGTAACCTTCATCCTCTGACCCCCCGTCACCACAGTTGCAGCGGTCACAGCCCTCAGTGCCCACACCGTCAGATTCTAAGGTTCCGCTCAAGGTGTCCCAGCATTCCCTCTGGTCCCAGCAGCCACTGCTGCTGCTTCGCCTCAACCTTAAACAAATACCCGGAATAATCAGAGGAAATCAGAGAAAAAACACTTAAAGGTATTCATAATAAATATTAAAGTCTAAAAATGTTGAAACTCCTTAATGATGATACCTAATAATGTTGATTTTTTTTGTGTTTTTTTCTACAACAAAATTCAGCATGTGATACATTAGATGATACTGATGCCAGGAAAAAATATTTTCCTGGTTCAGTTTTTCGCAAATTATTTTAGATGATTAAATAATTACAATGTTTAGAGTCCAAATTCTTAGGTCAAGTTCTTACTTTTCTTGTTATTCTTTCCACACTGTTAAAGTTGGTAAAGTTCTCTAAAGAAAATTATTCTAAATTCTGCTCCAAAGGACATGTTCATGGACAAAGTCACTCTGAAAGCAGCTTTTGTTTGTCAAGTCTGTGCCTCACCCATGGTTTGAGATGACAGTGAGACAGTCCCCGGTCTGAGCATCCCAGACGCGGATCTGTCCTGCGAGGCAGCAGCTGGCCAGCAGCATCCCATCACTGGCCAAACACTCAATGTCCTTAGAGACACAAAAGAAATTAGTCAAACTCCAAACAAAAAATTTGTTTAAATGTACCAGCTGTAAAACACCTTTATTTTCAGTTGGTGTATATTAATCAATGACAAAATAAACCTTGCAATAATTAGAATAAATAAATATATGGTTATATTTTGACATGTAAGGCTAAACTATAGCATAACAGTTTCTTCTCAAGCTGCTGGTTTGTTTTGCAGTGAAATAACTCAGACATTTACAATCTGTTCATTGTTTCCTTTTTATTGTATTTATCTGTCTGGTCTCACCATGCTGTGGCCCCTCAGCAGTAGCGGTGATATCTCGCTAACTGGTGGAGAGTAGCCGTAATCATCGCATGGCAGGTCTCCTCGGCGTCGCCGCCCGTGGGAAATACCGTTTTGTCCGTAGTTACGTGGGCAAAGGACACGGTAAAGACAGAAGAGCAACAGGACCAGTAGGACGCCAGCTGCTAGTCCAAGAGCTGCCACCCTGGAGGGAAGACACATGAAGACAAATGTGGATGTTTAAATTCTCTCAATACATGAACATTTTGGTATTTTTATCAGCACTTTATCAGCATCAATATTTGATGAGTATGCTAACTCCTGGCAGCTGATTTTTAAAATTAAAATAAAAAAATCACAATTATTGGGATAATATTGGAAATAACACAAAGTGTTTTGGCAAAGCAATAATAAAAAAAAGGTAGTGTTGACCAAGAGTTGAAGGCTCAATGTGCCAATAGTGACTAATCACATGCAACACAAAAGCCAGATATGAGAGAGTATTGTATCTGGTGACAGTTGTATTAATCAGATAAGATAAAATTACACATTTACACAACGTCCACCATCTGTTGGCCGCATGCAGATACTTCGATATAGGGGCGCATTAATCATACATGACGAGTCACATTTGCTTCTCGACTGCCTTATTGTCAAAGGATATAGTTATGTTCATGAAAAACCATTGACTGCAGGAGTCTGACTGTGTACGCACAGATATGAGCTCCCTCTCACACTCACACACCTTTACTGTTTGCAAGAGAATGTGGCAGAACGGTGAAGATAAAAGCTGACAGACCAGTGCGACCTGCTGTCCTCAGCGCAGACCATGAAAACTCTGGTGCAAAACGTCAACACTAACGTCACTAGTTTTCTCAGAGCCTCTTATCCCCTGTCCTTTGTTTCCTTTACTGTCTCTATTACAAATGAAGAGTGTCTGAAAGGGACATAACTATTGGAACAGTTTAAATTACAAAAACCTTTGGTTTTAGATACTGTTTCGACACAGGTAAACTCCAGGGCAACTATGCTTCAGTGTGATACACATTTCCTGTGGATTGCCCAATGCATGTTGGTTAATAGGGTTGTAGGAGACACCCTTCAGTTAAAACAGAAGTTCAAACTATGTTTGAAGTTGACTTAACATAACTAAAGATTAGACAAGAAATGGATCAAAATAGGCACAAAAAAAAAACACAAAACAACAATTAACCAAAGAAACAGATGTAGGCCACAATCTACTTAGAACAAAAATCACCAAAATATAAGACAAACTAAAAATTACCCAAATAATGGCTAAATTTTTGAACATTGCCTGCATACAGCTTTTTGTAAGAGCATGGCTATGTTAGCGAATGACTAATCTTAGTGTGGGTTTGACCAATTTAATGTCAAAATGTTGCACTACATTTGTAATTATGTTTTAAGCTTCATGATAGAAATGTAAAAAAAAAAGTAAAAAGATTGAAACATTTATCTGATGTGGCTTTGAAGTTTGTTCCAACAAAATACTCTGCAAAATAATAAATTGAAATTATCTATAAAGAAACTTTCAGTGTCGTAGTTATAACTAATTCTTCAATGTCACTAGTTGGTTAATGTAATCAATAGACTTGCAAAATTTAAAAAATAAAAGACTGGAAACAGTCTGTTGATCTTTTCTGTTAAGATTTTACATTTTAAAACTTTAGATTATTTCTATTGTCATGTTCTTGCAGGTAATTCTCACCACATGCTGTTTGAAAAGCTCTCATACTGAAACACCCAGTCAAAGTGTAAAGTACACATACAGGTTATTCTTGAATCCAGAAGGGAGTCAATCTAATCTTAGCCATAGCTGAGGTTTTACACAGAGGAGAAGCAACATTCAAAACAACATTAAAGATCCATGGTCCCTGACAGTGTTGTAGCAACAAGTTCATTTTTATCATCGTGGCCTTGTCTTTGTTTCAGGGTCAGCTAAACAAGCCATAAACTCAATCGTGACATCATTCTGAAGGTCATGACCCTGACCTAGCTACAACAGATAACCCTGCTATCGACTGTCCAAAGATGAAGCCAAGTGTTCTAGAATCCACCCGGCAACCTTGATTTCTTGGACAAGAGTACAGTAGACTATCAGGAGGCACAAGTGTTGTTAGTTCTGGTTGTTACTGAAGACATTAACATAATACAAATCTTGAGGGTCATTTTAATTCCCTTTAGAGTCTTGAAAACTGTCAGGGACGATCCTTGGCACAATAACAGCAACTGAGAATTGTGGTTGTGTTTAAAATATATCATTATACATTATGTACATATATACATTTATGAATAGTTTTCACAGGTTACAGCCACAGATGTAAAGCATGTTTGCAACTTTGATGAAAGTTGAATTTTTTAATTAGTGAGTAATATGACAACTGAAGTGGACTTTTTGAGTATTTTAATTTTAAAATTTTGAATTATCAATTCGCTTACTTAAATGAGTCAACTTTGGTAAATGTTAGGTTTACTGTAGTGCAGAAATTCTAAACGTTTTTAAATTGTTTCCTCAGTTACTTTATGACAACAGTTTGAACAGATTTAAATACCTAAGTCAAAGTCAAAAGTGACACCTAGACATCAGGGACCCCTGGTTATATTAACAGTTGAGTGTTGGAACACTTACTTGTACAATGTAAGATCCACCTGTAGATCTGCAGATACTTTGGGAATGACTGGAGGAAGAGGGGGAGGGATCTTGGTGTCATGAGGGTGACGGGTCTCAATAGCCTCCTGGGGGGTCAGGTGAACAGTGACAGGAATGACTGGAAGAATGCTGATGTATCTATAGGGGAAAACAAACAGTGAACAAAGAGTCTAATTAGGTCAAAGTCACAGTCAATTTACTGTATATAGTATGCAAGGATTCGTCTTTCCTCCTAGAAGTAAGACGGACAGAGACAAATGTATACAAAAAAATTGATAAACTGCACTGATTGTTACCTTTTTGCTAAAGTAATGTTGTAGTAACTGAAGAGTGATGGCCAGTGCCTAAAGGACAGTCTCCTCCAACCTTCTTCGTCTTCTGCTGCCCAGGTGATCTGAGGCACCGCTGCAGGAGCCTGAGGCAGGGAACCTGCTCTGCCTGGCTCAAGGTGACCCTGTGATTGGTTCTCTGGCATGGGGGTTGGATCAGGTGCTTGGTGAATACTGAGGGTGCTGCTGGGATCTCCACCTCTGAAGACAGGAGCGACGCCGAGGTGGTGAGGAAGGATGGCTCCTCCAGGATCGCTCAGGGGGCTTTGCTCCGATACTTGTGTGGCCAAGTAGGTGCGGATCCCTGCAGGGTCTGTGTAGACGAGAATGCCGATCCAAATGACAGTGCCAGCCTGGAAATGAAGCCAATGTAGGATAAAAGAAAAAAATGATTTAATCCTGGAACCTGAAATTTGGCTCAAGTGCGCTCAGCTTTTAAATAACATTTTAACAGGTTAAGATTTTAATAAGGAGAACTTCCCAAATTTAAATAGCCAGCTAATATATCTCAGTAACAGGTCAAACAGACCATTTGAACCAGAACTAACTACTACTCTCACCATAATAATACGCTGGGCCAGACGTGTACGGGCCAGGAAGTACACCACACGCAGCCTTTTGGGTAGCCTCAGGGTCATGAAGGGCGGGGTCTGAAAAGTTATCGTGTGTGGGGAAGGTCGTGGAGGTGGAGGGACCTCACGTGGACGTAAAGTGCCAGGTTTAGGAAGAGGCAGCCCAGCTTCTGCTGGCAGGCGTCGGTTCAGGTCAGCCAGCTGATGAGGAAATATGCAATTAGATATAAATAAAACAGAAAAAACAAAAATCTGTTTTAGCCACAGTGTGATATAGTTTTACTCTAAAAAATGAGTTGCTATATTAATTTAATCTTATATTTTTTAATGTTTTAGATTGAAGTGCAAAAGGCAATAAATATCCTATACAGTGTCAAAATGTCTCTGGTCAGCACTTTTAAAGTTAAAGACATTTTCATCCATCATGAATAAAAAATGATTAGACACATTCATAGGTCCACAATTCTCAAGCTGACAGCAAGCCAGAAAATGTTAAAGGCTTCAGTGTGTGAATGTGTGAGATTCTCCACAGTAAGATGTTTTAAATGAGAAGTGCATGTGCATGTGGGTAAACTAATCTGCAAGCTATGTAGTGAATGCATGTGGGCTGCAGACCACATTGTGACTATTTAGTGTTTGTGCGAGTTAGGCAGTTAGGTTTTATATCATCTTTGTGTATCGGTATCAGCTTCTTTCTTAATAAATATTACTTAAACTTTGCAAAATCAGATGGTAGGTTTCACAGGTAGCCAACCCTTTGTGGTCCATAACATGAACAAGTGGACATTTATTAAATAATAAAATGTTGTTCTATCAATAAGAACAACATTATTCAGCTTCACTGGTTGTGACGTCAATAAAGTTTTGTATTAAATAAAATGACAGTAACAAACTCTGAGGGACACAGTTCATACCTCCATTCTTCGAATGTCTATAGACAGTACTGTGGTGAAAAAGAACATCTGCAGGAAGAAATCGGACACCAGGCCCACGACAGCAAACAAACAGAACTCCTAAAGAAACAAATGAAGCCGAACCATGGACATGGGTAAGGAGGAGAACACATAATAGCAGCTGTAGACTTCTGATGATGAGACAGACTTGATGCATGTCTATGTTTTCTTTCTGTTGATAAATCAGGTTTATTGCACTTTTCTATTACCTGGATAGCGGGAACTAATGTGAAATATCCAATCAAGATGATACAAAGCTCTGTGGCCACATTCTTCATAATGAACCAACTTTCATTACTGAGACCTGTAAAAGAAAACAAAACATTTAACATGACAATTTGATCAGAGGGATGCTCTGATCACCACAAGAAGAATTAATTAGAAGAACAAGTTATAAACACAGTTTCACCTTGTGCTATGCGTAGTTTGACCTCAAGGTCAACAGGTGTAGAGACGACAGACTTTGTTAGGACCAAAACGTTTTCTAGGCCGATCACCACTACCAGGTATGGAAAAATCTCCCTGCAGAGAAGAAATGACTTTAGTTTCAGTGAAGAAATTATTGTGAAAAAGAAAATAAAGAGGATTTACCACCTAAATACATTACAGAACCTGAACTCGTAAATATCTGGGCTGATGACAGAATAATTAGCAACTGCTAAGTGGAAAAAAAAAAAAATCCTCAATCATATGTCCTTTATTTGGGCTCTTTTTTCATCCCTGTTTTACCATAAATACACCAGTTTTCTTACTAAAATTAACTAATATCTTTTGCTGCTATATCTCTGCTAAAATATTTATATATTCCACTTCTAAAAATGTAATTAACAATTATTTCTCAGACATATACACATATTAATTTTTATATATATATATATATATATATATATATAAAAAAAACACTGGTAATTAAGTTTTAAATTACTTCCCTCTAACTGCCTCTAACATTTGCCCTCTGGCAACGTTCTTCTGTTGTAGTGCAGTAAGCTTAGTCAAATAATGGAGATTAGTCTGTACTATAGAAATAACTCTATAATTGGGTCACAAGGAGTGAAAAGTTACACACACTACATCACACACACCCAATAACTCAGCTCTTAGAAAAATACTATCAGCCACTAACTCCTCAGTCCTGTGTGTGTGTGTGTGTGTTTGTGTGTGTGTGTACTCGGCCGTGACTTGGCAGAATGTGAAGATTACATGCATATGTTTGACCTTGAACATGCGCATGTGTGTTAGTGTGCCTGTGTGTTTATGCAAACAACCCCAGCACAGCCCCATGGCTCTTCTGCGTAGATTTTGGTCAGTGGTTGATCGATGATGTGCTGCTATCACGCCATGATGTCTGCTTTCTAATAATCCTGATGTGATTGGACAACCATCAAATAGTCAGTATCGCTTATTCCCTGCCTCCATACTTAGCTCCACCCACCTGTGCACTGTGTTTAATACTTTACTTTTAAATCAACAGTAATGAAAAAGCAGCTGCAAACATGAACTTAATATCTATTTTAAATTTACTGGGAAGTCAATAAACATTTTTGTGTAAGGTATCACAATGGAACTTCTGTGTAAAAGATAACACACAATGAACTAATTGTAACAGCCCACAGCGGATCCAGGGGCCGTAAATTATTAACAGGAGAAATTTGAATGCAGACTCAGAAGCTACAGTTCTACTACAGATAAAATGTTGCTATTTTCCAGTTACTTTGCATGAACAATTCTGGCCCACACACCAGGAGTAGGTCCTTAAGTACTAATATTCTAAGATTAATCAAGGGCTTTAGCAGGACAGATGTTTATGTGACCCATAATGACATGATGTCATTCATTAAGAACATTTTTTCAGTTGCTTTGAAAAGTAGTTAGTTGTTAATATTAAAAAGCTATGTCTCAATACCTAATTTTCTTCACTTGGAATGAGTGAGATTTCTTTAAGAAACCTTTGGAAGCTACCGACTTTGCATTTCGTCTAACAGTGAGCAGCTTTAAAATGTCTTTTTCACCCTCTAGTACAAAGACAGAAAAGTGTTTCTTCCTACCCTCCATTGAGTGTCGGCGTCAGTCCAAAAAGTGTGCACAGTCCCACAGACATGAGCAGCGAGCTGAGGACTGTGACCACAGCAGCCAGAGCTAGACCCCACTTAGACTTCACCATATCAATTTTACCTGCAGAAAACAGATGTAGCCCATGAGGATATTTTCATTTAAAACAATAATTCCAGAAATACTCTTTACAGATGGGGAAAAAAAATACGAGTTTCCCAAGTTATGATTAAGCAACTCCTGCAAGAATTTCTTTGTGATATGAGGAAACATCAAGTTACGAGTGCTCATTTGAACTCCATTTTTCCACTCGACACTGTCACACTCACTGTCGCTTTATGTCTCTCTTCCCCTCTCTTTGTCTATCATCTAAATCGAGTCTTCACTCCCAGTCCTTCTCATAGGCTTAGTGGCCCAACACACACAGTTTCACTCACTGTCCCTAGCTTGGCTATTTTACCCATTTTTTACATAAAAAATATAACAGGTTTTCTTAAGTATTATTATTTTATATCAATATATATCATATCAATATATTTGTTTATATCTATGTTTTTTATGTTTAGATGGGGGAATTTTAAAGTAATCAATTAATAGTATATTTCTGCAGGGCTACTCAGTGTATATATGTATGAACAGTGTACTTGTACAATGTTTATCCCTGCTCCGCACAGGACCAACCTTGGGCTTCAACTCAAAGGTACGACAGGCACATTTCAAAGGTTCTTTATTCCTGAATTGTTTTATTCACTTTCGTGTTCAAGAGGGATGAAGGCTAACAGGGAAAAAACCCAGAGAGTTGGACCTACGTGTGGAGAAGTAGATGTATGCAAACAAGATGATGTATGTGGAGACGAGAGGGATGAGTTCAGCAACGCCAATCTCCTCCTTGAAGTGGACATGAACCATGTGGTCGTCTCTCAATGTGCAGTTGGCTGCCGAATGGAGCTGCTTCAGACGTGCTCGCAGGCTGCCCAGGAAGCTGAATACACAAGATACAAAAAATGATATGGATGATAAAACCAATGTCAGAGTGAACATGCAGTATAAAAATGATGAAATCTTCTAAAGAAAATCAATGCAGTCATTTGAAACCACTGACAAATAACAAAAACAGGTTTAATGGGAAAAGGACTCTTGACTCATTACCTGGAATCGTAGCTGGACAGCACCACAGTGATAGTGTATGTCACCACCCTCTTTCTGTTGTAGTGACTCACCCCGGTGTGTTTTCCAGGAACACCAAAGAGCAGATCTGTAAGACAAAAAAACATGTTTTATAAATCAAAGCAGAATGACGATGATTACAGGTGAAGAAAACATTGTTTTTAAATCACTTCTACAAGATTTTCCTTTCCTTAAAACTGTGCCCGTCTGTGGAGAGTTCTATCTCTTATTTGACTGTTAGGATTTAGTCACTCAGTGTGAACATGAGTATAATTCTGCCTGTGTCTGACAGCCAGGCCATCCCTGACTCTAGCTCCACAGTAAATCTTCCTACCATTAAATCACATGAGTTAGGGGTGAGGCAGAACACTTTGAAGCGTTTGGGGTGATTAGGTTCAATGTGTAAGTGAATAAAGTTTAGTCAAATTTAAAACGATTCAAAGAAATACAAAACAAAAACACAAAAAATTGAATTGAAATGAAATGAAAGCCTCAAAGTTCCCTTGTGGGGTTGATCATATCTTAACTTGATACTGTTATTGTCCACTGCAAAAGAAGGCTGTTCTCCTGTAAACACCTCCCACCCCGTCCTTACCTCGCAGTGTGGCTGAGGTGTGCAGGCCTTTGGGTTCATGTTTCTGAATGGTTTTGAGGAGGTCAGGGTCTGAGTCAAAGAGATCTCGCTGGTTTTGCCAGTAGTTGCCAGGAGAAATGAGCAGACAGCCATGTTCTGGAAGCACCGACTGCATCCGCCGTAACCCTGGCAACAGGTCTGTCACCTGGAGACATAATGTCTCCAAACTGCGAACACCAGAGCTGACAGAGAGGAAGCAAGGAAAAAAAGGAGGCGTCACTTATCAACACTTACAGAAAAGTACAGTAGAGCAATACAGTAACAGACCAGGTATAGGGCAAGGTCCCTGACCATTGGACCTTCACTGTTTCTCAAGGTCACTGATGTTTTTCAGTCGTGGCTCAGTTTGTATTTTCCTTTGTTTTTTTTTTAATTGTTTCTGCTTTATCAATTTAAAGTTATTTCTGTTTTAGGCTGTCATAAGTTAAATAAACATCTGATTGTAGCAGTGTATTACAATACAATTACAATAAGAGAAAGATAAACTATTTTTTATTTTGTTTTCACTAAAATAAAAACCACCACCATGAGCAAGAAAATTTGCATTCCTTTCAAATAAAACTTACTTAAAATTAGAAAATGTGTAAGTATGTATAAGGCACCTCTTTTAAAAATGTATTTATTCTATTTGCTAATTTTTCAACTAATAAATGTATATATTATTATAACATATTCTAAGAGGTCCGCTGTTGGTTGGAAACGTGTGTTTACCTGTCAGTGTAGACGTGGTTACGAATCTCCTCCAGCAAACTGAAGACTTGGCCCAGTGGTGAACGAAACACGTCCACTGGTACCAGATGGCTGTCCCATGGAGACACTGCTGCCTTCACCAACACCTGCTGTATGTAGGCAACTGGAGGACCTCGGTACTACAACACACAGGTATACACAAGCATTAAGGGTACATGATTTGTGATACCACTAAATACATCTTCAGCAAAAGTGACACATGACGCTAACCTGCCACTTCTTCCTAATTCAACACCAGTGCTAAGAGATCTCGAGAGAGAGATATCGGTGTGATATTGGACAACATTTTAGAATTGGATACAGCCCGTCTAATGCTCAAATTAACTTTGCACGACATGCCGTAAACAGGGACAATACTGAGCCATCCCTATTATTTATATCAGTTAAAGCTTTAGAAAACTGTAAAATCTAACTAAACCATTGAAAATTAGTATTTTTGTGCCGTATACATTTGCTTGTGATGCTACTCTCTTACCCAGTCAGGTTGTTCCCCTCGATCTCCCTGGGGCTCATGATGAGGGACGTTGTAGTCTCTCACACCTGTAGTAAATTCCACAGGACCTGTCCCAGGCAGAGGAAGCCTCAATAACGGATAGCTAGAAAAAAAAATGGGAGTTGAGATTGTACCTGCCCTGTTAGTGTTTGACATTTTAATGTAAAACATTCAGTTCTTCTACTTGAACGGTCATATGACTCTGTGGCTGTTAATGGTGCAACACTAACAACACACACAAGGCCTGTGGCTTTTTATGAAATATATTCTGAGTTTTTTTTTATTTTTTTCCACTTAATGGCGAGTGTAATGGGATTGCACAGGTTTTAATCCTTCCTTTAAGAACAAATCCACAGTACAGAAATATTTCAGCCCCAGAGCATTTTAAACCTTCCTGACATTTACATAAGTACGTCACATCTGCCTTTACAGTAGCGGGTCGTGTTGAGACAGAACAACTCAAGAAAAGTTGACTGCAGGGCCCCTGTGAAGACCGTGACAAGTCAAAAACAGATCACAGTTAAGTGTCTAGATCTCAGGCGGTGTTACGATACACCTGAAAAATGCAACAGAAAGAAACCCTGAATGTTCCCATTTTTCCACAAGCACTGTTGATTAAAATACTATCAAAGCTTGTTGCTCTGTATGGGATTGAGTTGGAAAATTTAACTTTGGATTCACTGCCACTGGACTTCACTTTATTTACAACATACTGCACAAGTGCAGACACACAAGGACCAAGTATTTGCTTTTTGTTTCAATTTTAACATATACAGCAGTTCCCCGAGATACAAACATCTGACTTACGAACATTCGTAGTAATGCATTTAGTCTCTGACTATTAACACATGGTGGCCTCAGGCCTGATCAGTTGTCTAAAAGGGGTTAGTCAATGAAGCCGTAAATGGAGATGTTTTGGTAATGTATAATTAAACCTAAAAAACAATCATCTACATTCATGTTTGAATTTCAATGGTATTAACTGGGAAAAGCAGATAAATAAGTGAGTAATTACTACTTTTCCCCATCATTATCATCACCAACAGTCTGTGTCTTTAGTGCTTATATAAGACCATAAATTTGTCTCTGATATTTGCTGACCGGAAAACTCCAATCCACTTTCTCCCTCTTTCACACCTCCCACTCACTGCCTGCCCTTCTTCCCCTGGGTCACTGTTTCTCTACAAAGGCCTCCATTGTGCCAAGCCGGGCCTCCTCCTGACAAGCAGATGGAGGGCCCAGCCTCCTAGTCTCAAAGGGCCATTTTCTCACAGACCTCTGCTCTAGTACAGCATTAAACAAGCCCAACTGGCTGCCCTCTTTTCTTTCAGATCGCCCCAGGTGTTGGTCAATTGTTGTATAAGCTCAGCACCCCTACTGTAAGTGCTGTGCGGACAGATCAGCAGGTGTGTGTGTTTGAGTTGGCTGTTGCTTTTCACAATGGCTTTTCGACTGAGATCAAGAGAAAACTTTTGACCTTTCTTTTTAGTGTAAAAGTATAGTCAAAATACAGCATGCGTTGAAACATGAAATTAGTGCTATGGGCCCTTTTAACTATATTTATTGATTAACGATTTTATTTAATCATAGCCACATTATCATTACATTGTGATTCACTGCGTTGTGATCCATTATATTTCTATTTTCCTTGTAGCTTATCTGTATGTGAGGAAGGCAGTGTAATTAACCCAGACAGGAAACCTACCAGCAGGTAAGGATGCTGACAGAGGTAAAAAGGATGATGGGTACTGGATAGGAGGCACACAACAGCCCGTGGCGGTAGAAGGCTGCAGAGATCTTCTCTCTCAGCTGCTCGCGCAGCGTCATTGTGATCGACGGGGTCAACTCCCGGCCATTTGGTTGCTTTGGCCGGCGGAGGACAGTGCGCCGTGGGGCATCCAGGGACCTAAAGAAGTGAATAAAATGAGAGTTCAAACTAGGGCTGTCACTTTTATTAAATGTTCGAATCAGATTAAGGAATTAAACAGAAACTTTGGAGGTACCTGCACTTTGAACTATTTAATTTTTAGTAAACACCAAAAAGTTAAAGTGTAACTTGACCCTAAGGTTGACCTCTTGACCCATGAGCAAATGAAGACTGGGTGAAAGAGCATGAGGAAGTAAGTACGTTATTAAAGCAGCGCACACAAGAAATTATCCAGCAATTGACTTAAATGCTCTTTGTGTTTTTATGAGACAACATATTTCATTTAACAATCTTTCAGCAGGTCAGCAGTTCTGTACGTTATCATTTAATATATACATAAATTAGGTCAAGTTTAACATTTGATTTTGAATATTATTTTATTTTATATTGTGCATTGTTGGAATGTACTAAATTGTTTCATAATTTCTATTCTTTGAAACATTAATATTAATTCATGCAATTGCAGTGCCTTGATTTTATTGAGGTTTTACTACAGACAGCAATAAATACAATGGTACTGATGATTGGCATAATTTCTTTTAGTGTTTGGTTTTTTGCCTTGGTTTCCAATTTTAATTTCGGTGCACTCCTAGTTTCAAGTATTAATTAACACATCTCTTAAACACAAGTAATTAGTTCAAATGGTTTCATGCACAGCCGTGAATTTGCTGGTAATGTAGGTGAGCAGGTGCATTCTTAGAGAAGTGCTGACTGAGCTACCTAGTGCAACTTTGAGTGAGGTAGCAAAACCGGCCAAAAGCCTGCACAAGAATACAGCAAGCTTAAGCAGTGTTTCCTTTTTTTTTTTTCCTGGGGACCCGTATTTTGAAAGTCACAACCCTTTACGACCCGAGTCAATAGACATTATTCGTAAACTCCTGGGAAACATGGTGCGGGACGACCCAAAAAAAAATATCTCTTGAGGGTCACGACCCAGTCTTTATGAAACAATGAGCTTAAGGGTATAGCAGAGAAAAGTCTTACTTGACTGCAACTTTCGTGCATCGAGCAAGCAGTTGATACAAATTAGTTTTTGTTTGAGGAACTGCTTTCCTTAAGCACACAACATTTTTTATACAAATCTAAACTACACTAAACACCACAGTGATGCTTGTCAAAAAGTTGACATTGCGGGGCAAAGTTTTTGTGTAAACCTTTGAATGTAATGATAATATACACTGAAGAAGCAGGGAATTGTCTAAATGCCGTTTTGTAGACCCCACATTTACAAGCTGTAGTAGTTAGTGCGTTTTATCTTCATGTCTAACATAAAAACTGTTTCTGTAATTTAAAAAAATGTTTCCTACATTCAAAGTGGTGAATCATGAAAATCCTTGAAAAACACACACACCTGTGGGTCTTAGTAAACCCAAAAAAACGTACAAGACACAAATTTCACAAAGAACTTCCTGTTGGGCTGCTTTTGTCCCAGACAACTAATTGGTCACATAACACACTAAAATGGCGCTGACCGCTGACTACAGCTAGAATGGGTTTTTCCATCCGACAAGCTCATACCAGGGTCACATGGAAGACGGCAACTAAACACACTGCTCATTGAGAAGGCTTGAAGGTGTGGACGCATTCCTACTGCAAAAACATGCAACACTGGCTGAGCAGCTAGTCTAAGATAAACACCCAAAAAGATCATAATATATGGTGGAAATAGCCAGCAGTGTAGAACTTCTGCTTAAGTAACAACAAACACAAAGTCAACCAGAAGGCCGAGAAGAAGAGTACTATTTGAAGGACCACTGAAAAAAATTTTTTTTTCCGAGAAAACAAATACAAAATTGCCATATGAAACTTAAAAACAAATACATCAGTAGAGTTTACCAGCTAATAGAGGACCGTTCACAAATGGGACACCTGACCGAGATAACACAAAGTTGTGTTTTCCAATCTGTTGTATGTTTTGCTGCATTTCAAACAAAGCCAAAGTGCAAGTACCATATGCAAGAAGAGCCACGACCTCAGGTGGCTGACTATATTTATTTTAAATAAGGAAGTGCTGCAGAAATGACAAGTCATTTTCATCCTGTTTCTTCATTAGTTAGACAGGAATTTCAATATTTGAAGATGAGTGACTTTTTCTTTTTTGTATTTAATTGCATCATCTGTGCATGAGCAGTGGCAGGCAAGCAATTTACCTATGACTACAGCTCTGATTAAAAGTACAATTCCATTTTGGTCAGTTGGACTAAATATTTGACAGTGCTATAAATGCACAAGAAGACTTAAGGGTTATTTTATTGATTTTTTTTTCCTTTAAAAATTGTTTACTTTACGTTGCAAGAGACTACATGGCATCCCTGCTTCGAGTGTGAGAGAGAGAAAGAGTAAACATGATAACTATTAGTTAAAAGTCAAAAAGTGTTCATAATAAAATAAACAGAGTAAAGTGAAAACTAATCAGTGAAATGGTCCAAGTGTACTTACAAATCTTCATTAAAAAATAAAGAATACTCCATGGGACCGGCACATTCAAACTATGTGTAAAGGATTCTAACCAACACATTCTGACTGTTCTGATGGCACAACTGTCTACTTTTTGTTTTTACATTTTTAAAATACATTTGATGTTCTTTATTTCATAACCAGGCAAACCACACAATCATGAATCTGAGTTCAGATATGGACTTACTCCTGACTTACTACTCTTTGCATTAAAGTTGGCTTGTCTAACCTAAAGGTCTCAATTACATTCTCTATTTAAGCTTTCCACTAAATCTCAGCTTTTGTCTCACTTTTTGTTTCAAAATGCCCAATTATGTTTTCCATGACGTGCTGCTTTATCAAAATATTGAAACCTGTGCTAGGTCATTGAGGTTGAGGTTTGTCAGGCGGGGAAAAATCCCCCAGGAGTCTCTTGATCTGCCTTTATAAATACACTGTACAGTAAACAGAACAGAAATCTCCATGCAAGTTAACACAATAGGTTCTGAAAAAAGATTTCAAAGAAACGCCTGTAGGCTCTTGTGAGGTGAGTAAAAACAAAGTCTCCATATATTGCCTTTATCCAGTGTCCTGCCTCCAAAAACTTTCATTCAGCACCTGCATCTCTTAGCTGTAAAAGCTCTGTCCCCACATGCTGTGTGACATGGAATAAACAGTGAGATGTGATTTGGCAGCAGCAAAGCTGCATCACCGTCACAAAACTAATCTGGGATTTTGTCAATCAGAAATTGGTTAAGACCTTCAGATGGCTTATCAAGACCATTGAGGCATTTTGAAACATTCACAGACCAAAGGAAATGCAAGCACAAGCAGTACTTTACAGCCAAAATTACTACCTTCTGCGTGGATGCCATGAAAGCAAAATTCAGGGTGGGGAAAAAACAAATCCTGTGACTGAACAAATAATTTTGTTGCAGTGACTTATTTATATTTATATATATATATATACCACATTTGAAAAAAACAACGTTTTATAACCAGAACAGGATAAAAAAAAAAGCTGCGCTGAAAAATGATTTGCATACACCCAAGACAACTAACAGTCTAAATAGGAACCAGTAGAATCACATGCAAAACAAAAACACAGTCAATTAAAACGACAAACCAAGAAAATAGACAACAACAAGGCCTTATATATTATCTAGTTTATCTATGCATAGAAACTGCCAAAACCTCCAAATCCAACAAAAACAAAATTTAAACCAAGAACTTGCCTTTGCTGTTACATTTACCCCAACTGAAACGGGAGATACTACAAATGGCTAAAACGTCTGACTGCTTACCTTTTCACAACACTTCCTAGAATGCCAAGTTTGAAAGCATCTGCAGGGCTAATGGATTCCAGCGACATAGTAACCAATTGTCCATGTATTAAAGTGCATTTACTAGTAGACTACAAGTATAGCAGAAGTTACTGTGAGACGCAAACATTTCCAACATCCACAAACATTTCAGAGAGCGCTGGGCAGCATGAGGTCCCTGTAAAAAAATGCCTGCACTGACATTCATTGCTATTGTTGCATAACTTGGAACTAGGCTCTTCTGATCAGTGAGGCCCATTAGTCCTGTTGTAAATGCAGCTCTCTGTGGATGAGCAGATTACTGCCCCACGTTTTTTTCTTTAGGACCAGTGCTGATGATAAAGCAAGAAACATCCTGTTAACCAGTAACCACACCGCAATAAAATTGATGTGTAGCAAACAACAATTTTATCAAATCCTTCATGTGTACAAATTATAGCATGGACTGATCACCACTCGGTATAGCAGTCAGATTTCCTGGACATTATTTCCTATCATATTCACCTTTCTTCTGCTAAAGTACATACCTAGAAAGTAAGTTCATTCAAACATAGTAGCAGTGCTGATGCAACACACCTGTAACATCACTATCACCAGTTACCAACTAGCACAAAGACCCCGAAGACCAAAGGGTTCAAACAGTTTTGAGGAACAGTGATTTATTATTTGAAAATTGTTACCCATGGACCTTCAATAAAATCTGTAACCATCTGACCAACTAACAAGCAACAGTTCACTGACGCTATTACCTATTCTATACAAAGTTGCATTATTATAATAGTTGCATTAAAAATTTGTAGAACAAATCATTGTTGAAGACACTATAGCCTTCAAACAAAATACATTGTTGAATACAAATTATGAGAATTAGGAAATTTCGTAAGCCAACATTTAATGTTTGCTAATGCTATTTAGCATCTATACTCTACAACTACTACTAGAAAACTATACAAAAAACAAAGATTTGTTTTAGTAATTAAATGTCGGTTTATCTGTTTCACAATCACAATTTGTTTTAAAAGTGTATCCAAGTTTAATTCTTCTCAAAAGTTTTCAATTTTCGATGATGCAAGCAAGGGGCGCACAGGCTAAACGCTAACAATACCAACAATGTTATCCCGAGATAAAAATGTTAAGAAAAATGACTATACACAATATAAAAACAAGTTTTAAGCAATCCCGCCATATGCATTTCACATACCACAAAGTGATGGAACTCTCAGCACATATTTAATACACCTGTCAGTGTATAACTTTAGCAACCCTGTAGCTAAGGCTAATGACTTTAGCATCCAGTATAAATCAACGACAAAGCTAGCATGCTTAGTGCGGCTACGGTGCTTACTTACATGGTAATTTGGGGGACATTTGTTGTTTTGTGACGTAAACTGGTGTCCGGGTATGAGCCACAACAAAACACTGCAGTTATGACCACAATAAAACTTTTGTTGATAACAGAAGGGATCAGGCTATCCCGGCAGCTCCCATGCTTACCACCACTTCACATAATGCTAACCTGCTAATGTGCCTGTTAGCTCTATGTCGAAGCATAAACACTCACCTCCGGCAAACTTTACAGCTCTCCAAATGTTATGAACGGCTGTGTGAAATCACCCCGAGTCGCAGCTGTGTATTTATTCCACTGTTGCTGGGAAAATGCACAAGACTAACGTGCATTCCTAGACCTGACGGTGACAAGCATAGGCAACCTTTCTAAACTCCAGGTTGTCAAATCCCACAGAGGGAGAAACAAGGACCCTCCAGCAACTCACTCTAACATGCGAAAAACTGAAAGAGAGCGACCTCTAGCGTTCATAAGTAAGGTCGACATGCATTTTAATAAAATAAAAAAATCTATAGACATGATGAAGGGAGTCAGGTTTAACAAGAGAAAAGACAAAAATGCAAAATGGATACAAGTGATCCAATGTGACAATCACTAAAGGTTGTAGAAAAGCTGCCAGTCAGTCTGGCACAATTTAAAACACTACATAAATATATGTCCTCACTCATTGGATTGAAAATGAATTGGACTTTATTACAGCAGTGCCTCAATGTACATACTTACATTTAGTTTATTGATGTAACTAAGGTATAAAAAAAGAAAAAAAAAAGAAAATCATGAATGAATATGTACTCAGAGTACATGCTGTGATGCTCTAAACACTTGATAAGAATCTCTATTACAAGAATCCCTTGATTAGTTCCATGATGAAAAATGTTTGGCATAAATGAAGTAGACACAGTATGACTCTAGAGTCATACTGTGAGAATCAATACTGATACCAAAGTCTCCATCAACTTTCTTGTTTGCTGTGTCCTTCCACCTTGGGCCAGACCAGGTCCTTGGCTTTGGGTGTTAACAGTGAGTAACTAGTCATTCATTCTGGCACCAGTCAGACACTGACTAGAGGACAGCACTGGATGTCCCTCGAGCAAAGAAGGATGCTCCTTTATCATGGACCTTATATTGAAACAGTTTATTCTGTGTGTTCTGCCCATCACCTTGCCTCCTCTGCCAACACACTTCCACCTAAAAACAAAAGACAAGAATGTAAAAAATTCAGTTCTTTGTCATAATGGGTTGATTATATGTCATTTCTAATAGAATTTCTTTAATGGTAAAATCTGCTCTATCGCTAATAATGTTATTTATTTCATTATGACATAAATAGATTTTTTTAAGCATGCAAATGCACCTGGCCATGAATGTCCCTGCAGTAACCAGTTGGAAGACCCTGGACATCAAGAGTGAGGCTACTTTGGTGAGTCAGACCCTTTAAGAGGCAAGCAGGGCTCTCATTGTCTCCTTCATCTTCTTCTTGATCACAACGTACCAACATCACCATGTTGCCCTTCAGTACAGTACAAAGATTTATAAATATATGAACAGTATATTACGCTTTAATCTGCTTTTAGTGGCAACAATGGAACCTTACTTCATTAGCAAAAATCTAACCTGTAGCTTGGAGCAGATTGTGGCTTGACAGTAGTGGCTGAAGTCCAGGACTGCCCCAACCGTCACCCCCAGAGTCAACAGCACACTAAGGTCATCCACCAACAACACTGGAGGTCCCCATTCTTCTGACTCTGCCTCCCCACCACAGGACCTTTTAACCTTGGAAGACACAAACTCGTAGAGATCTTGCAGGCCCAGTTTTGGGTCTCTGGAGATAAAATAAAATGTACAATGTAAGGAGAAATGGTGGGAAGAAAAAAACTGCACAAAAGTGGGTAAGGGTTACAAAATAAAGAGAATTAAAAAAACTGTACCTGAGAAAGTTCATGGCTTGACTTCCTGTGTGTTCATCTTGAGGAATCAAAATAGACAAAGACTCCTGCAGTCCTTCAAGAAACACTAGCTGACCCTTTTCTTTCGCTTGTGCTAAACTTACACCCTAAGACAACAACACACACAACATCCATAAAGTTTCAACCATCAGTCAATATATGTAAAATACATAATTAGTTGTCCAACACAAAAGGTTATGTAGTTGAACTATGGTTCCTTTTTTTACATTTTTTTTAAAGGTTTGGGACATTTTCAAAAATGTTTCTTAATTTCTCAGGTTATCTTGTTGAATAATGTTTTACCTACCAAATATGAGGCAAAACATTTAAAGCAACATCACTGTGTGTTATGTCATAAACTAATTATTTTATGTCCATCTCTGTCAAACTCACCAGTCTTTGACTAACTGTACTGTAGTGGCTGAAGGACTGAACCATCGCAAGGAAACACACTTTGCATTTTGCTGAAACAAACAAACACAAATATCAAAATAGTCCAACAAGCAGGTGATAATTAAAAATAATTCAGAATTATCTTAAACACACTTACCGCGCAGGTAAAAAGACAGAAAGTGATGAATCAGGAAAGATGCATCACTTTGTTTATCTGATAACAGAATGAAATCGCCCTGTAGATTCAAATGAGGATGTTATCGTTTGTTTTCAGTACCTATAAACTACCATCCAACAAAAGCGTGTACATTCTATCCTTTAAAATTATTTTGATACATGCCCAGTGTGATTACCTCTTTACCTTTGTAAAGCTCTCAGGGCTCGTGTTCAGGATGCTGTTAAGCTCTGTGTACATAGCTGGACTGGCTATAAAAAGCCCAGTCTTCCAAGTAAACAACAACGTAAAATGTCGTAAGACAAAACAAAGCAACGTGAAACGTTTTAAATATTTGTGTTTATTCGTAAAGTTCCAGGATCCATCAGAAAATACGCTAAAACTTAAATATTTCTAAGTCGTTAGTAGTTAAGGCTATTGGGTGTAAGCTAACGTCAAACAGGCATGCTATAAAGATCAAAACCTAAACAAGAGTTCCCACTTGGTAATCATTTTCCGGCACCTTCTGCTCATGGATAGAGCGCCAGCATCCTCTTATTACAACAAATACTGCGCTACATTTAACTTACGTTAACTCGGTTGCACCACTGCATCACAACAACATTTCTGTATATATATAACTAACGAAGACCAACAACCGTAACAGGTTTAATCGTTGTATTTAGGGCAAAACCATCGTTACACGAGACAATCTTTGCCAACGCTCGAGGACTTCTTCATGGTGTTTATTCAATTTTGACGTTATACACAGCGCCACTTGTTGGTAGCACGATGCAACAGTAAAGCGTCAGGAATCAAGAAACAAAATAACCTGACTGGTCCGCCATAAAAAAAAATTTAAAAAGACAAACCTATTATAAATACTTGAGTATTTTCTTGACCTTCTTGACTCGGGTTGCAGCGAAGAGAGCGCATGCCTTAGCTATTTGACCACCAACATGGGGGTGTGCATTAAACATTAAATAGCTAAAAGAATTATTAAAAAAAAAACACCGTTATGTGTCATAAATACATGGAGGTGGAAAATAGCATCTAATCGTGGTCAAAATCAGCAGATGGCGCTGCGCAGCTGTAAGATATACCTTCAGGACTATATATGCAGTGAACCTGCGCCTCAATTTTTATTCCCATATTTTGTACGCTCCCTCTGCAGGTCACTAATGCACACGTAGATATCAAATTCTTCATGGTTTAGGCAGTCATACAGAACTTGTCAGTTGTAGGTATTGTCAGTATTTATTTGAAGTTATCAATTCAAGCTGACATAGAATTGGAATAATAATGGGGTCAGAAAAGTGTCATATTATTCCTATAAACCTGCACATCTGTATAACTAAAATGTAGCCATTCATATAAACACAAGGTTGGTTTAATTTGGCAGAATCAGAGTCCAAACACGTGTTGTTTTGTGTTTTTTTTTTTTTTACTTTACTGTATGTGAGATGAGCAGACATTCATCACTGTGAACTGCTCGCTTGTTCTGCTGGAAATCGTCGGCACAGCAACACAAATAACACAAATATAAATGTCTGTGTTTATTTTGTGCTTCTGCCAAAGTTGCCATGGTTACAGTTTCTCCTAGGACACAGTTTGTAATTCTCACTGTCCCTACAGCAGTATTGAAGGCCAACACAAGTACAGCAATGGGGAGGTGTGAAACTTTTTCTATAAAACACGCACCTCATTCGCTAAAAAAAAAAAAGTCAAATCTGTTTTCATTTTTTATATGTGGAATATATTGCATATCTTCAACAGTTTTACCTGTTGGTTGCATTTTGTAATTTGGAAACCTAGGACTTTTAATTGGAATACTCAATGTATTTGTTTTTCGAGTCCAGACTCGGTCCAAATGGCTTCCTCCACTTTTTTTTTAACACAACGTTGTTGATTTGCTAAATTAAGGCAAAGCATTTAGGTCATGTCAGTAGGCATTCAATAGGCATTCAGGAATCACCACTGCCTTGACATCCATTGATCATAGATGGAGGCAGTGATTAAGTAGGGCCGCAGATAGAGTAAGACAAAGAAGGAAGATTTCTATTGTCTTCCCACTGCAGGAGCCTAGCCTTAGTTTGTTTGCTAACAATCTCACTGTGTGAGTGTTTGAGGTTTAGTTTAGGGTACTTTGAAGAGATCAACTTTGGAATGGTGGCTGTAACAACTAAGACCTAGCCATAACACTGTTGTCTTAGCGTTAGCCTCAAATGAATAACCTTTGTACTGAATTTTACTACATGTAACCCAAAGGTGGGCATTAGTAGGTTGAAAAAACCCCAATATATATATATATGGATTCTTTTTATAGAAAATCATAAAATGAGCTAAAAATATATGTGATAATTGTGCAACAAGGCACATCAACTTTTAAGGAATAAAGTAAAGATTGTATTTTATTTTAAAAAAAGTCAGACCAAAGACTCATGTCTGAGCTGATAATGATCCAAATAGCTGCGAAACCCAGTGTGTGTGTGTCTGTGTGTGTGTGTTTTCATTCCACTCTTTCATATCTATCCCCCTGTCCACTCTCGCTTATCTGCCAACGCCACATGGGAGAGGGCGTCGTTGCTATGGAGATCCTTCCTGATGCTGCAGCCTGAACAGGAGAAGTGACCTCTGAATTTATCTGCATACACAACCACACACTGCATGGATGGATGAACCGTATGGATTAAGATCACCTCACGCAGCTGGATCGACATGGAGTCAGAAACAGCACGACATTAAATCCGCTTTTTAGTGGACTTTAAGGTTCAGAGTTGCACCATGCGATCTGACCAGACGACCCTAATCCTCTGCCACACAGCAGCACAGCTGTCAGTGTCCGCCTGGACCACATACAGTTCAGACACACGCCGCTGACCTCTTCATGACTGCGGATTTATTTCTTTAGATTCTTCTTGTGCTTTGACTTTGACTGTCTGCCTTAAGCTCCTCCCACTCAATGTTCACAGATAGGTCCAGTTGCTGATAACACAAGGAAGAGTTGCTTCGGTATAATTTGTCAGATAACTATTATTAGCTTAAAATATCTAAGCTAATAATTTGTTTTATATAAAAACCAATCTTCAAAATAAACACCATATATATAGACACTATATATATATATACACACACACATAAAGAATTTAGGTTGAACTGCTTTCCATCAACTGCTCATATTTATCAGGAGGTAGAATTGCAAGTAAACTAAAAATAAAATGATGTGAATAAATTTTAATAAATAAATTTCAGGAATGTAACTTTACTTTATATAGTAATAATTCATTCCCTTAAAATGCATCAGTAGCATAAATAGTCTTAGACTATTAGTGAAAGACAACAAAGAGTAAGAAATACACTGGTCTTTTTTATCCAGTGCTGGGAGTTAAACCAACTGGGACTTAGATTCAACGATTGGCTGATCATGTGGTGGAATGATGGAGCTGATGGTCCTGAAGGAGCTCCTGTGATTGGCTGATACAGGCACACAAATGTAGTAAAGCATGAAGAACACACACAGACACACACACGCAAAACACACATCCATGTAGGCCAACATACACACACACACTCATGTAGGCCAACATACAAACACACTCATGTAGGCCAACATACACACACATACGCTGGATGAACACAGACATGTTTGGAGTGTGCAAAAAGACAAAAACAAACATATGTGCATATTTGTAAATATAAAGACAGAAAATCTGACAGAAAAATGTGACAAATATTTTATAATTTAATGCTTTTCTTGCTTATATAAATATTTAAAAGCTGGAGTAAATATGTATGTTTACACCAATGTAAACATATATATTTGTTTAGGTCTGAGGATATATGGGGGAAAGCTCCTGACAACCCCTGAGAACCAGACTGTGTGTGTGTGTGATGTATGACTAGATTTCCATCAGAAAAGGTGAGAAGCAGCATTCCTAAGAGCNTATATATATATATATATAAAACCCATTTGACTGTGGGTCTTCAATCACAGCCAAAAGCTTGGAGACTCCTGCACTAAACAGTCACTGATCTCAAAAGCTGAATCTAAAGAGATTTAACACGAACCCGTCTTTGTTAAAAAGGACCAGAGCATTCATGTAGTGTTTTAATACATATTCTCTTTTTAAACCTCTGTTCTTTTAACATTTCTCATTTCTCTTGAACAGCAGCATCAAAGCTCCCAGTGTCACAGTGTGGCTCTGTGAGTGATGACTGCGCCTCCCTCCACCCTGCTTCACGCTTTTCTGTTGGTAATTTCATGCCCACTTGTTGCCATGGCCTCCGCTGGTACTTCAATCGTTTCAGTGAAGAACAGCGCCCTTTGGTGTGTGTGTGAGTGTGTGTGTATTTGCGCATGTGCAATCATGTGCCAGCTATTATAAGTATGAATGCATGTGAGAGACAAGCTGACAGGAATAAAACAGGGCCATAATCATTCAGTCTTTGTCAGTGGTTTTTTGTTTTGTTCTGTTTTTTTTGTGTGTGTGTTTTGTTTTTTACTTTGACAACTTGTTTCCTATTCTGATTTTTAAATACAATCTTTTGACATCCTTTGGCAGACTCTGTTTCTTGCCCCGCCCTTCACCATCCGCCATCCCCACCTCTTTATGTCCTTTATTTATGTCAAAGACAAGCACCTCCCCTAGCTCCCCTCCACCCTTCATGGGAAGGCTCTGCCACAATACCATCTTTTTAACCCGTTGCCTTCCATTGAGGAAACTGGACAAAAGCTGATGATGGTGGTGGTGGTTGTGCTGCCTCTTCTGAGAGCCATTAGAGCTTTAATCACATGGCTGAAAGTGTGTGCATTTGTGTGTGTTACACTTCTGTCCTCGTGGGAACCAATCTTTTTTTCTTTTTTATACAAAATGAAAAGAGGGCATTTATTGCAGAGAGTGCGTTATGTCCAAGTCAGAATCAGAAAAAAGTGGTTAAGACACGGACAGGTTAGCGATGATGGTCCTGATGAAAATGTCTTTAACAACTAAAGAGTTGAATCATTAAAGACTGCGTTAAAATTACAGGTAAAGCTAAGACAAGACTCAAGTACGATTATGTTTTTTTTAGCTGCAAGTAAACTAAAAAGTATCGACTATTTCACCAAAAAAAATAAGATAATGTTTAGCAGTATGTAAGTCCACAAATGGACTTTTTAATAAATGTACTTTACCTCTGAACTATATTAAACGCAGGAATTGAGTGTGGCTGCAGGAAGTGCTCACCTAATTGAACAAGCATTTGTGACTCTCTGTGTCTGTGTCTGCACTGGTGTAAAGCAGAGGAAGCATCTCTGGACTGGAAACAGGACACACACAGCTGTAGCAGCAGCAGCAGCAGCAGCAGCAGCAGCAGCAGCGGGCTGGTCTCTGGTGTTGGACATTATGGTTAATAATCTGTGAAGACATAATATCTAACAGTAGGTGAAGATATTCTGCAGCTCATGCAGCAAAGACCATGTCTGACTCGTGTAATAAGACAAGGTTTATGGGCCTGGATCAAAAGTGTTCAGGCTCAGGTGATCTACCTACATTGATATATATATATATATATATATATATATATATATATATATATATACACACAGTATATACTGTATGTACACACACACATATATATATTTATATATACAGTATATTGTGACAAAAGTGAAAGTGATCTATTGTCATCATGACACAGCACACCACCACACACAACAAAATGTGACCTCTGCCTTTAACCCATCACCACAGTGAGCAAGGTGAAGCTCAAGCTGAGCGCTCAGGAGCAGTGTGTGTGTGTGTGTGTGTGTGTGTGTGTGTGTGTAAAGGTACGTGAGCTGAAGAATCTTTAGGCTGTGTTCAAAGCCATTCAGGCGACATCAGAGTCTACGAGAAGAGAGAAAAAGGTGAGAGGATGCAACACAGGAGGAAACGCAGAATCATGTTAAAAAGGTTTTTATTTCAACAACGGTCTGAATCATGTTTGTTTTGTTTACGGTTCGAAATCCCAAAAAAGTACAAAAAAGAAAAAGAAGTACATCAAAGGATTAGAAATAACATCAATGAAAACCAAGACACATTGTGTTCCTTTTTTTCTTTTTAAATCAATCCAAGCATTTTTTTTTTTTGTCTCCATCCAATATTTATACACACATACTCACTGGATTAGTCAGATAAACATCAAAAACCTCTCAGTAGCTTTATTTGAACAACTCTTTTTTTTAATTCTTTTTTTTTACAACGATGTCTCACGTTTTAAAGTTTTAAACTTCTGTATGATTTCTTTCATTTTTACAAAATACACCAATGCAGGCAGGGTAAATGTGTGTGTACACATATAAGCGTGTGTGTGTGTGTTTGCAGTTAAGCAATGGGGCGGGACTAAAGTGACAGCAATGAAGGAAACGGGGCAGAGAGAAGTGAGAGGATCAGGGGCAGAGGGGTGAAGAGGCAGTTACAGGTTGGCCGGTCGGAGGCGGGCAGTAGAGGTGTTGTATATATATATATATATATATTTTCTAAGCGGCCCAAGCCGCTAGGTGGCAGTAGAGCCAGACAGGGTTGTTGGCTGGTATGTTGGCAGGCTGGTTGGTTGCTTGGTTTGGGCGGCTGATTGACCAGTTGGGGGGCTCGTGGTTCCTGTTGCTGGCACACCTCGTTGTTGTCAGGTTGCTCAGGAATTTTCCGTTTGTGTGTTTTCACATCATGTTGTTCTGCAGTGAGTTTACCTCCGAGGAGTTCTCCTCGCCCAGGAGCTTGTGGTTCTCGTGTTTGGGGGTCAGGGAGTTGTGGATGTTGAGGGAGTCATCCTCCTTGGGCGGGGCCTTCACCGGATCCTCCAGCTTGTTCTGGGAATTAGGATCGTCCTACCCAGGGAGGGAGGGGGTGGAAGTGGAGGGTTAGGGGTAGAAGAGTAAAATTAGAACCACAATCACAGGCATCATGCTACTGTTTCAGCAGCAACGCTGATGTTTTAGTTCAAACTATTCACATCTCTGCGAACACAAATACGTTTGTTATGCTCAGTGTCAACGCTCAGTGTCGGCTTTAGGAGTACAGCGTGTCTTTGAATACTCGAGTGTAAATATTGGACTCCAGCAATGAGGACCCAGAATTAGTAGTTGGTGTGTCATTAAAGGGCAGATACATGTAAAATGTTGAAATAGAACTGAGATAAGATCATTAGGTCATTCCACTTTGAACAGATGACCAGTTCAAATTTGGTATGCATTCACATACAGATTTCAGTACCGACTGGTGATGTCAGAAGAACATCAACACTAACAAAGAGACTTTGAGTGACACCATGACCTTCTGTGTTGTTGGGCTACTTTACTGTAGTGTGCATGTATCATACGTACTGCATGAAGACTGTTACTGAGGATTTGGATGTTGAGCATGAAATCAAGCAACATTTTGGTCCAAAATGTCTAAAGATGACATAGATAAAGCTAAAGTGGTAATTAGTGCTAACCTTAGTGCTAACTTTGTCACCTTGTTTGTAAAACATGACTATAACAATGTTGGACGATTTTGTTTATTATTTAAAGACTATCTATGACACACAAATATAGGGTAGAAAATATATCCCACTCCTTGGCATATGACCAAATTTGGATTTAAAGTCAGTGTACCATATAATCAATTCCACACCATAATCCTAAAGACACAGTTAAAAAGATGTTGGCACTCAACATAAACCAGTGTTCTGCAGAATCACCGTGTGTTTTGGTAACATAAAAAATAATTAGTTATAAATAAAGGGGAAAGAAAAAAAAAGAAAAAAAAGAAACACCAAAATGCTTCGTCAGAGTGCAGCAAATTGCCAGACAATAATGATGAAACAAATGAAACTGCAGCTGTTATAACAAGCAGATTCTCGATCTCTGTCAGGCACGTCCCTGGTTTGGATGTGAAACCATTGTCTGGTCATTATCATTTTCATCATCATGCTTGGCCAGCCTGTTGTTTTGGCTGAGGAGACAATGAAGTAAACTGCATGAGCGACTCACTCCTCCCCCCTCTCCCTCACCGCCCCTCAGGCAAACACAGGGAAGCACATGCGCGTCCACATGCAACACTTCAAGAAACCGTGCCAGCGTGACCCTGAGTGATCGCTCATGCAGTAACACAATATGTATTTTCTCCTGATTTCTCTACCAATTCAACAGCGCTGGACCAGTTGTTGTGAGTACCACCGTCATACAGACCCAAACAGTCACTGGGGTGAAAAAAAACAACAAAAAAACTTTGTATTTTGGGTCCTTTCAGTTGAAAAGTCATCTGATTTTAATTAAGGTCAGAGGGAAAAACATTGATCTGCATCCATTTAAGTTGTTTTTTCCAGCTTCTTTTCCCTATTAATAGTGAAAGGCATCAATCGACCCTGCTGTGCCAAAGCATCTGTCTGTGTGTGTCTGTCCAACAAGTGACACACACACACACACACACACACACACAGATGCTAGAGAGCCTGAGGGCTCACACCATTTACAAACACATCCTAATTAAATGTTTGTGCTGTGAATTTAACGGGCATAGGAAGAGCAGTGAGAGCATTTACCCGCTGGCCGCTGGCCTAGATAGTAACTTCAGGCAGGACATGTGGATACGTCACTTCCATGGTTATGGGGTAGGTGCCCTCTGTCCTCCCGTCAGCGTGAAACTGTAAAACGTTTTTTTGTTTGTTTGTTGGCTTTTCACTGTTGTCACGCATGGATAAGTGAGGAGGTGGGCAGTGGGTGGACAGCACGAGGACTTTAACGTATCGTAGGAGTCTTCGGGGGGAGTGGGAACAGAGATAAAAACATGGCTCTGATGATGATGGTGAGAATGATGGTGGTGGTGATGATGTTTTGTGCTTTCAGTTGGTTAACTGGTGTTCAGTGACGATATTTCAGAACATTAACAAAGACAAGCATCTTGGATTTCGTGAAACTGTTGTTGTCGCCCCATTTAATCCTAACTGCAACTTTGAAATATTAATGAAACTTTGTTTGCATTTAACACACTTTAGGCTACATCTTGTATTGTTGCATAGTGTTGTATTGATATTTTACACACACATAAATAGCACAAGATTAACAATTAGTCTTAAAAGTTACAACAAGTAACATTTTCTGATCATTGCCACCTGCAGGATAGGAATGTAAATACAATATGTCGCAGCTGATCACTGTTTGCTTGGATCAGTGTGTTACAGGCCACGCATATAAAACAGATGTTCTGAACACACGTTCACTCTGTTGCTGATTTGTCATCAACAAATCTCCGACAGTATTTGGTGACCAAAAGTCATTTGTTAAGAACAGACTTAATTTTTTTAATGTAAATTTTGTCCGTTTTTTTTAAATTAAATTTCAGGAAGTGCTAACATGGTCAGAACCAGCCTTATAAAGGTAAAACAAAAGATGGAGATAGATTTTCTTTTTTAAGTGTAAAACGTTGAGTGTTTTGAAATGAGTTGAAATAAGTTCAATGGGAATGGGTGACTACACTACATCTGTCTCAGATTATATAAATATATTTTACTACATTTAAACACCTTCAGTGTCAGTTTTCACTACAGCAATTAGACTCAACAGTAAATTCAGTCTGAGAGTGGATTCAGTCAATGGAACACAAACCTCTCAGAACAAGTGGCAGCCTGGACCGGTCAATTTTTATCAGCTTGAATTTATTTAGCATTGACAAAATAAATAAATAAATAAATAAATAAAATAATTTCCCAGCTGGCTGTGAAGTGGAGCACAAGAGTGGAATTACTGTGGAGGAAAAGATGGAGGACGGGCAGATTGAATCTACCAGAGTGAAGGAAACTCAAACCATCCTATTACTACAGGGACACACTGTGTGTGTGTTTGTGTGCATGCATGCATGCATGCTAAAGCATTCGTGTGTGTGTGTGTGTGTGTGTGAGTGATAAGATTTTTCCAAGGTCAATACACTTTTCGATCGGAGACAGAGCTTTTTATTTGCTTTTTCTAAAATGTTTTTTATAGACTCTGGAGTGTCATCGTCCTAAACAACAATTTACACGTTTTGACTGGTTGTTGCTCTGCTGAGTGACATTCTACTGATCAGTGTTTTTTATCCTATTATTGTAAATACATTATTGTTGTGTGTGTGTGTGTATATATATATATATATATATATATATATATATATATATAATTCTAGGGTTTATTTATTTAAGTAAATATGTGTTATATGTTTTCTTCTTCTACTGCTTTACTCTGCGGTCTGGTTGTTTCAAAAATTAAAGTAGTTTTTGGATTGTTTTTGATATCCAAATATCTGTTTAAAAGAGTTTAAACTGTATGTTTATTCATATATTCTATTTGAATGGTGTGAATTTAATTATTCAAAATATGCAATATAAATGTAAGATTTTTTTTACTTATTTTTATCACAATTACACCATCTGTAATGTTTGTTGTTTGTTGGTGATTTTATGGATTTTCAGGATATAAACTATATAATATAATTTCTGATTTTATTTTTCCACATCAACTTGAGAGAGGGTGATTGACAGGGCCACAGTTATAATGGAAGCGCTGTTTAGGAGGTGAAGGGGACTGTGAGGGGGACGGGGGGGACGGGGGACGGGGTCAACTGGGTTTTGGATTCATCTACAGTTTGGGAATTTGGTCTTACCTCACAGTCGGACTCCTCTTTGGTCTTACACTCCCAGGTGTATCTGCTCATGGTTTTCTGAGGGGAGGGGGACGGCAAACGGTTATAACTTCTCAAAGACCATTTAAGGTTGTGTCAGAGACAGAGACAGAGACAGAGACAGACAGCAGAGAGAAGGTGAGACTGAAATTGAGCAGAAGAAGAGAGAGATTAGAGATGATCCACAGGGAGAGAGAGAGAGAGAGAGAGAGAGAGAGAGAGAGAGAGAGAGATATATATATATATATATATATATATATATATATATATATATAGAGAGAGAGAGAATTCATGGGACTGTTTTCAGGTTCTAAACCAGTCAAATACAGGTCTGGATGTTTCTGGTGAGGTACTTCCTCACACTGGGCTGTTAGTTTGGAGAGGAGGTGAGGTTATTTGCCCCATTAGGCAGAGTAAACCTACTGCAGGTATTTGGGGAAAACCGGTAAGTGGGTTTAGTGTGTACTTCTGGGAAAATCTAGTGTACATATTTATTACTAGATTAGTTTGGCAGGTTGGGTGGAACATGGATTAGAAAAGTGAGGGTTACATAGCATAAATTTAGAGCTAAATGAAAGGAACGCACGTCAAAACATGCCAATAGTAGATGAATAATCCTGCAGACTCACAAGACTCACTTATGTCAATCCTTTAACTAACTATATTCATCATGTCATAATCCTAGTAAACATTGTTTGACTAGACATCCTGAAAGGGAGACATAATATGAGTCAAAATTTTGAATAATGTAATTTTCATATATCCAAGAGGGAACGGTCAAATAACTGATTTATTGTCAAAGAGTTTGACAAACAGAAACTACTAAAGTTAAAAGTTGACTTTAAATACAGATTTTCCTTTATTTGGAATTTATAAAGAGTTTTGTATGCATTAATCTGATTATTAAATATATATATATATATATAAAACGTAACGTAATGTTGAATCTTGGATCACCTTATAATAAAAAGCTCACTTTGCTAATTTAACCAGTATGTTTTTATCTCCATCCTTTATCTACCTAACCTGTTTAGGCCCTGAGGCAACAAATTCTACCAATTTTTTTTTCATGTGTTTGTTTTTTATGTACTTTGCAGAACAACTGTTTTTAGCTAAAACACTATTAGTGTTAGGATACTTCTAGATGGAGTTAGGGGCTAATAATAAATTGTTTTTAATGTATGTTTTGTTCATTCGTTTGGTTAGGAGTGAAGTTGTTTGTGGTTATGGTTGGTTTACATGAAGACATTTAAAATGTGCAGTCTGCTGTGGTTTCATGGTTGAGTCAAACTACTGATGGAGTTGTTAGAGGGTGGTACCACACTTTCATTTTCAATTTTTAACACAGATGAATGAAAACACAACAAACTCTACCTTTGTTGCAGCACTAACTAGAACTACCCATGCTGCTACTGCTACAGCGTTGCCATGGCTAGCATGCGTTAGTTAGTGACGAACCTGTTGACTTTCTACTGCCACCCACAGATGACAGCAAGTTGTTGCATCTCAGATGTTTATCCTGATTGCTCACAAACAATTTCCCCACAAATCCCCACACCTTCACCTTACCTGGTCAGGACATTGTTTCTGGGCCAACCCCAAATGTACCAGTGACTAATCTTTATAGCTCCTCCCACTTCTTTCTCCCTTTTTTAATTTCAGGATAAACAAATACAGCAGAACATTTTGTTAAAAATTAGCAAACAGCAGAGCTGCAGTGGCTCACATGGCCAATGGATGGCGCATGTTAGCGAACAAGCAGGCCATGCCATACATATCAATGCAAGAGGTGAGCAGTTAAGAGTAAGAGAGGCAGGGGAGGGGGTTGCAGCAAAGGACTGTGGGAGATTTCTGTGTGTACATTTCATGAATGTTTCATATTCATGGTCGTGAGGGGAATCAAATCTGAAATCCTGTATCACTGAGGTGTGTACCGTAGACGTGTACGAGGTACTGACATCAGTTTCTTTTAAATATTTGAACTTCCAACAGGTTTTCCCCGGTAACAGAGGTTAAAATTATGATTGGTCAGTTGTTCTTTGTATCTCAGGGGTGTTTCTAGAAGCACCATCAACTCTATATCAATGATTAAGACAACACTCCAAAAGTTAACTATCAATTTAAAATGTTCCTACTGCAGCTCCAAAACTGGTTTCATCAGCCACGATGACGGAATAGCGAAGCATTCACTGCTCGTCTGTGAATGCCTACTGATGCTTATGACAGTTCCTTCCAAATTTTTGCGTTTTTAATTTCCTTCTGCCTCTTGAGAAAACTCCCATATCCATCCTTGTACTGAACCCTCCAGCCCATCCCTGCTCCATACATTGCTCCCCACCTCAGAGTATTGGAGTATACTCATGCCCATGCATTAGAGGGAAGAGTCAGGGAGTCTGGTAGGAGGTTTTTGGGGAGATGCAGAAAAAGGAGGGGGTGAGAGAGGGAGACAGAGAGAGAAGGAGAGAGAGAGAGAGGCAAGAACCACGTTACCTGACAGATAATGTTATCATAGTAAGCCAATGCACGGGCATGAGGGACGTTAGGAGGGGTGTCGCACAGTTTCCTTACATTTGGGTGGGAGCCCTCAGCGATGGTGGACAGCGAGAAATTATCATTGTGCTGCTCCGATGAAGGCCGGTACTTACTGCTGGGCATCAGTCAGGATGGAGGGAGGGTGAGAGGGAGGAGAGGGAGGATTAAGTAAATTTGGGGAATCAAGATAAAGGTGAGACAAAGAACCCAAATTATGAGCAAAATGGTGATAAAGGTGTGAAAAGAAGAATTTAGAATTCCAAGAAAGACAAAGAGGAAGGATGTAATAATATGACAAAAGGAGGAGTGCACAGATGTTGAAAAGAAGAGAAAACAGGCAAAACAAACAAAATTAAAACGGTTTTAGGAATATGGTATTGTTTAAAAATGAAAGGATCATAATTAGAGAAGAGAAGAGGGAGAGAAAATAGCAAGAAAGCTGCATTAGTTCGAGACAAACAATATATCTGGGATGCAACCAATAGACAACAGGAATATTTAACCGCAGGAACTAGGATAAATGGTTTACCGCCGAGGTTTCATTCTGACACATTTTGTATTTTATTACTCAATTTCTAATGCGTAGTTATAGCAGCACTATCAAGGGTCATATATCAATTCATCATTTTACAATCAGCACATATGTACCAGTCTTTAGTCCTTCTGTTCCAGCCTAGCTTTGTTTGGTAACGACTAGAACAGTCAGTCTGTGCTGAGAGTTATTTTCTTCAGACCTCAAAACCCAATCTTATGGACTAAAGATGTATTTTAATTTCAAACATGTCCTCCTGAATTGTCCCACGACAGTGAACTATCTATTAATCCTCCCTCCCTTTCTTTCTCTCTGATCGTCTGTGACCAGGATGTTGGTACTGATGAAGAGAAACTCTGTGACTTCAGCAGATGGCAGAGTGTGGGCGTCTCATGGATTCACGAGCCTTTTCAACAGTCCTCACACAATCCTCACAAAAACACACTCACAGAAACACGCTGGTTTCTGAACATGCTAAGCTGAGCGTATTATCTCCACATCTTTCCTCTTTCTTTTCCTTTTCTCTTCTCCTGTTGTCCTCCTTTCCTCAAAGCACCGTCTCCCTCCTCCTGTCTCATCCTTTTCCTTCCTTCCTTCCTTCTTTTAGCTGTCCATTTGATGGAGCTCTCAACTGGAGCGTTCAACACACACACACACATACACAAACCCCTTTAGGTCGCACAGATGTATGTAGGTCAACCACGCCTCCCTCTTTCTGTTCTGTTCACACTGCCCTACTTTCAGATATAGCTGGTGAACCAATGACATCATCTCTTGTTGCCTCCAAGAGCTTCAGATTCTTCCTGACTTCACAGCATTTCCATCTTCATCATCAACTTCGACTCCATCACTCATTATCCCCTCGAGCACGATTATCGTCGAGGAGGGAAAAGCTCCTGGCTGTGATGGATCTCAGTGCCAGGACTGGGCCCTGTGCATCCATTTGCATTTCTACACTGTTGTTGCCGCTGCTGCTCATCCACAGAGGCTTTGTTGCTAGGGAGATAGCTGTTAAAACATTAAAGCACTGGCGAAGCAAAGCTGAGGCAAGACTTTTTAATATTCAGTCCAGCTTCTTAATCTGTCTGTCACTCACATTCTGTCCTGCAGTTCTTGCTCTGTCCACCTGGGGTTCACACAGGAAAAGGAAATTGTAGGTTTCTTAGAGGATCTGAGAGCAGCATGACTTGTAGCATCATATTATAGAATGCTTTTCAGTAGTACTAGATTATTAACAATGCTTTAATTGCTTTATAGAAGGTTATTGCTTGTGCCATTGGAATACATGGATGTTGTGACTGTATCTACAGGTTGTTAGATTTCCAAGACTCATTCATTTATCATTCACTGTTTCATCATGGTGGAGTGGCAGCTAACACCATCTGATATGGTTGGGGCTGAATGTGGTGAACCTTATCTTATCATTATTAATACAACAGTCGGTATCTCTTTATTTTTTTGTTGGCCATTTGACCCATTTTAGGTTTCCCCCTAAATGCTGCCTGGAATTGGATCCAGTTTTCCTGATAACCTGTTATAGGATAATTGTTAAAATTATGGCTGAAAAGTGAAACCACATTCTGATGGGTTCAGTGTTTGCTCATTGGAAGACATTTTCATCTATCATCTTAAAGACAATGCGAGATAGTAGTGGGTTTAAGTGAGGGTTTTTGTCCAATAGGAAGTGGACAACATTCTCTTTTAAATTCTAGAGAAGTAATTATTGACTAGTCCTTAGTACTGTTACTATTATGGAAAATACAATATTCATTATTATTCACACATCTAAATCCAATGGAACTAATGATTCACTCCAACATGTCTGCCAAGGTCCCTCAGGTAGAACGAACACAGTCTCTAAGAAACAGCGACGTTAACAATACTAGAAGATTAGTATTAGATAATCATTTCCTAAATGTTCCTCCGTTTCTTCACTGTCTTTCTCCCCTGGTCACCAGGAACCTTTCCCACTCTCACAGATCCACCTCCACCAGACTGTCTTTGTCTCAGTTCTTCATCAGTTTCTCCCATCCCCCATTACCACCCTTCCTCTGTCTCACAGACCCTCCTCATCCTCTCCACTTTCATTTCCCTCTTATTCCTCCTCCTCCATCTGATGGGCTTACAACCACCATTATATGCTGGACATAAAAGAGCAGCGGACTGATAACCTGTCTCCATACACTGCCAAACTCAGATGTGATTTCAACTAAACACCCCCGTCCTCCCCCCTCCCTGTGTGTTCTCTCTGTGGACCAATCTGTCTTTGTCATTCTTTAAACTTTACACTAAATACCATCCAAGGCAGCGGTTTGGCCCAGAGGCAGCATCGACCACACAAATAAGGCTTTCTGGTCCAGATGTTAAAAACTGAAGATGTAATGTGCTGCTCTGTGCAGGTTTATCCCATTGACAGTGGGTCATAGTGCTACTGATAAAAGACTCGACCTTTTAGTTGTGATAAATCACTTAAACGAACAAGTACTGATTCACAGGCTAAGGTTTGGTTAGAGATTTTTTAAACCGTTTTCTTTGACACACCTTCAGACTGGAACCATGACAGACAGGTGTCAGTGTTGTTAAAAAAGTGTTTGTTTTGGCCGATACTCTTCACGGTGCCTCACCTGCGTTTACGCAACTTCTTGTTCTCCGTCTTGAGTACGTGGAGCTTCTTGGCAAAGCAGACGATGATCATGAAGAGCAGCAGGACCACCAGAGCTGAGGCGCCCACGGCCAGACACATCACCTGGAACTCCGTCACCACTGACTCACAGCGGGCACCTTTGTGCCAGATGTAATCCTGGACATTACATCTGCGATGGAGGGGGAGGCAGAGAGAAGGGACAAAAGGAGGGGAATAGAAAAAAGAGAAGTGGTGACAGAGGAAGGATAAGTCATGACGCCGAAAAAGAAGGGCAAATGAGGAGGGGAGGAAAGTGAGATAAAAGGGAGGGGGAAAAAAACAGAGAAAAGATAAGTGGATATAAAAGACAACATATCTCATGTAATATTGAACAAAAAAATCAGTCAACCAACACTGTTAACCATTATGTACCCTTCTTTCAAACTGATCATGTTACTGACACAACAGACCTAAGTATCATGCTGTTGTCATGAATTACCGTAGGTGTGCTGTTAAAGGTTTAAAACACAATCTAAATGGATGGATCAGAAATAAAAACCATAGAATGTATATAATAAATGGACATATGGACAAACATTTCCAATGTGAAGCCACAAAAGTAGGCCAGAAGCGGCTGGGCTGGTTAAGAACATGTCCATATGGACTTCTCCTGTGATTTGTTCCATTAAAACGTGTTTCTGAGTAGGTTTACATACTTACTGGGTCTGTTTAGAAGAGAATACAACGTTAATTTGTAATATTACCAAACATACTTTTTTAAAATACACAATTTAACATGATGAGTGTGTTATTATCTGGAATCTTAAAACATCTTCAGACACAGGTTAAAAATGTCACATGTCGGAGAACGTGTCGGAATGTGCCATGCAGAATGTACATTCACTGTTACTGTAAAGTAATGCAGAGGGGCGTAAGCGAGATGAAAGAGTCGCCACCAGGGTTTTACATGAACCTTCATTCAAACAGAATAACGGAATCAATCTGTGTTGCTAAACATAGAAGCTACGAATAAAAAGAAGAAAAAAAACCCTCAGGCAGTTTTGTGGCTGCGAAGGGACTCACTGTCATTATACACAAACACACAAAAGACACATGCATCCATAAGATCAAACGTATTATATATGGCCACACATGTGGACACATGTACTGTATGTGGTTGCACGTGCAGAAACGCATCGGAGTCTCGGACGCTCCGGGCAGCAGCCTGGCAGAGAACAGAATTCACCAGAGGGAAGCAAACGATGGACAGATGGCTCTGTCTCCAGACTGGGGTTTAGCACAAACGTATTTCATCACTTAATGAGACAGTACTGCTGCAGAGTGTCGTCGCTACCTTACTGTCACATGAGAGAGAAAATATGCCAGTTTGATCGTGCAGAAATTATTTTCCTGACAATATTAGTTAGTGTGTAACACATTATGCTGGTGTTAATGATGGTGTTCTTCCTCATCTGAGGAGACGAGAATCTCTGTGTGCGTGTTCACATTTGGTTAAAAACGTTAAATTATTTATCTATTAGATGTTAGAGATAAAAATGTGTTTTATTTCATCTAAAATGCTTGAATATATTTAGCTTTTTACCATTCTTTCACTTGAATTGTTTACTTTAAAATAATTGAGTGTAAGTCAGTGTAACGTAACGTAGCTGTGGATGACAAATTGATGTTTGTGATAAAATCGATGTTTGCTACATTTATGGCCACCTTATAGCTGTTTTCTGCTAATTTTTGGTCACCTTTTGGCTAATTTCCGCATAGCTATGTTTGCGACATTTAGGCTAACCTTTAGTAATTTCTGAGCTTACGTTTCAGTGCTGGTGCTATTATAGATGGATGGATGGATGGATGGATGGATGGATGGATGGATGGATGTACTTTATTGAGCCCAGGCTGGGAAATTGCAAAACATGTTATTGTCTGTTTCCTGTGATGCGCAATTTTTTTTTTTTATTCTTTTTTTTTTTCACTCTTTTCAATATTTGTTTGGAACATCTTGCATATTACACCTTTAAGTCTGTTACTGAGTGTGCAGCAGCTGGGCCACTGAAGTGCTTATGCATTATAAACACACACAGACAGACACAGGTTTACAGAGTAAAAAAGCTAATTTAGGAGCTGGGTTGTTTACACTCTCAGCATTATAATCTCTCTCTTTCAGCACTCCACTTCCTGTATCCTTCCTGGACTCTTCACTCTCATTTCTGCCAAGCTGGAAAAGAGCCAGGAGACATTTTGAGTGGATGTGAGGGGTGTGTTTGCGATTGTGTGAGGTGGAGATAAAGAGACATAGCAGAAAGCAGAAAGCAGAAAGAAAACTTTCAAGGAGACTCCAACACACTCCATCTCTGAACAGTTTTGTGTCTGGTACAAAGAGGAGGTTTATGATCCTTTTTGTCAGGGTCAGGAGGAGAGGGAGCGCGAGGAAGGGGGGTGACTGGAAGTGACAAGTAAGGATGCGCTGGTTGTCATGGCAACCCGGCGGACTGGGATATGCAGCAGATGCAGCGCTGACATGACATTCCATCACTGGCTTACTCTCACGCACACCCACGTCTGCCCCCTCCCCACGGCAGCTATCGGCCATTTCTCCTCTCCTGCTCCTCTCCTTCGCTGTGTCTCTCCTGCTGCTCGTCTTCTTGAAAAATCTCATTTATGATTCACTGGCTCTTTCTCCTCCTCTATCCCTCAGTCTCCCTCAGCCTCTAACCAAGTGCCTCCAGCTAAATCATGTTTCTGCTTTCAGTTGGTGCTAAAATGATTTTTAACACCAGGAGAAAAGGCAGCCCACAGTGACGGATTCCTTGGGGTGTTTTTGAAAATTAAATTCAACATTTAACCGAAAAGATCCTTTTATTCCTGATGTGTGTTTAATTCTAAGACAAGTTCAATGAACCCTGAAAAAAAAAAGATTTACACAAAGAATTCTTAGGACTCGGTAAAAGATTTTGATAGTTTTCAAATAAAAAAATGCATCTAGTCATTTTGTGTTGTAACCTAGCAACTAGTTCTTTTATAGGTATCATTATCTAAAATGTGTTTCTCTCTTCTGTATCATCTGTTTTTATTGTGGAGGAGATGATGCACAGAAGGTGGTTTAAAATTCTTTAGCGAAATTAATGTATAATTGTTCATAGTAAATTCTGATAAAAAAAAACTGATATAAAAAAAAACTGTTGAGGAATGAGCTCACAAGACAGACATATTTCAGCCTCCTAACTGTGCCCATCTGTTTTCATTCCCCTCTCCTTTCTTGTCCTTGACCAGCGTGTCACCTCACAGATTTCCCCACTGGGTCCTGCACCAAAGGTTCCTTACTCCCCAGATAAAACTTTTAAAAATCTTTCATCAATTTTCTCTGTCACTTTAGTCTCTGCCTAGTAGGAGCAAACCCCGACAATGAGCTCACAAATCCTCTCAGTGTTTACCCGGCTAGTCCGCCCTGCTGGGACAGACAGAGACACAGAGAGACGGGAAGACAGAGTCAGACAGAGAGGAGAGGAAATATAAGACCTCACATAAAACCTCCTGCTGCTCCTGATGAGGAGTAATGGAGGGTAAAATAGGAGGCGAGAGAGGTGCAAGGTCAACACGGGCCTATTGTAGGTCGTAATGAGTACTTTCAGGTAGCTGAGGCAGCTACATCAGCTGCAAATCATGGAACAGTTCCTCCACGTGGGTAAGATGGTCGATGATTCTTTTAAGGCTGTAGATGTCTCAGTCTCGGATCTCAGTAATAATAATGCAATATAAAGTAATGTCCAGTTTCCAATTCCAATTTCCTTCTCCAGTGTCATACATTGTTGATGCAGAAGAGGCTAACACACCAAAAAACTGACGATCTGGTCGAAGACAGACAGGAGAGGACACAGCTGAATATTTTAACAAACTCCCACATGTGCATCTTTAAATTATGCTAATGTATATTTAAATTTGATGCAAGAGTGTAAGGAAAAGAAGACAGTAAAAGCTTCAGCATAAATAACACAAACTTTGTCAGTGTTTCTAAAAAACAACCCTGATTTAAGGTTCTTTACTGTATAAAAAGCTGGTTTTGGTTTAGGACTAAAAACAATTTCACTCTGAATTCACAGAGGAACACAGAGTTCGCCTTAATCTGATGACATGGGTTCATGGGAAATGTAACAATAAACTAAGACAGAAGGTAAAGTTTAAATTTTGATTTCATTTTTTTTTACAAAAGGAGAGAGAGAGAGAGAGATGACTGATTTGGAAATAATGTTGATTTAAACAGGTTGACCTCATGTATAAAAATAAATAGATTTCACGCTGGGATCCATTCTCCACTTTTGTCCAAAATCTTCAACATCTCTCTCCAACAACATGTTCAACTCATCTCAACTTTGCTAAAGTTTACTTCCCAAATCAGACTTCCCTAAAACTGTTAATCCTAACAGTTCTTCTGTCAAAACTAGACCCAAACAAATATGTCTCTGTCCACAGCTGTCATGTGGATTGATCAAAATTTCTCAAATGTGGGCAAAGAGCAGATTGTAACCATTAGACGCCTGTAGAATTATTTCGAGATGTTCTTTCTCATACTTTCTAGATTTATTTACTACAATCTGGATGAATTTAATCTAAAAATGCAATCTCCTTGGCAGAGGTTATAAAACGTTATCTCTGTATCAGCTTCTATCTCTCACACACTGAATCACATGACGACCTTCTCGGTACAGCCACACTGTGGAGCTCCCTTCAATCAGTCTGTGATGCCAAATCCTTAAAATACATTGATGGATGTGACCAACCATTTGGCTGGAGAAGAACCACATCCATTCAAAGGATGGTAATAATATTTATTCACATGTCTCTGTCAGCTGTAGCCGCTATTTTTCCAAAGATCAAGCCAGAAACAAAGGCTGATGTTCCTACAAACAGTCCCTCAGATTCTATGATGCTGCGTGAACATTCCTGAACACCCAGCAGCCGCTCACAGATACTCTGTACATAACAAGGCAACGAGCAGGAAAGACACGCTTTTACATCCAACCTGCTGCAACTGATTTAGCGTCTTGTTTGCTCCTCAAACGTACCTTTACACTTTTTCACCTCTGCTGTCTGTAAAATACACTGCAGTTTATTGCACGTACATGTAAAGAGCAGCAGCTGCAGAGACTCTCTCAGCATGGATCTGTGATCATGACTGTA